ATCGCCACGATTCTATCGTTTCCCCATCCGTTTCTTAAAAAAAAAAAAGGCCCCCAGATCAGATACTAAGAATCCATCGTTGTCATTGCCCGAAGGCTTAACGACCACGCTCCTGTCAAGAGAAGAGAATTATAAATAACTCGGATCTACGGCTTCAAAAGGCTTTTGTAGTCGGAAAGAGCCAGCCGCACCAAAACGTCAACCGAGACTATTTCTTGCCCTTGGAGCGCCTCCTACAGACAACCTTTGGAGTTCCAGACTCAACTCAACTGCCATCGACATCGACCCCAGCTCAAGCGCCTTATCATAGGTACGGTAAACTTCTTTCTGCCGCTTGAGACCCTGAGATGAGTATCCGTATCGGCATCAGATGACTGATGGCTCGGGCATCGACTTCTCATTCCATTCCCCATGCTCTCATCTACTGTAGTCTACAGTACAGAGTACACCATTACTGATCCGATAGCCGTGATCTGTCATGCATTTTCCCTTACTTTCGCGCCTATCATGCCCTTTCGAGCGTCGCATCCTCGCAACCTTGCCCTGGCCCTGCATCGTCATCTTTTTCTACTGTAAAGCCCCTTGAGGGGAGGGGGGTGTCAGCTACAAAAGCTTGTCCTGACCAACATTAGGCTCTCGTCTCACCCCTAAGAAACCCCTCTACAAGCACACCTCGTCTCGGGGCTCTTCACACCCTCCTTCTTTGCCGTCCTCCGTGCTTCTCCACAAAGCCGGCCATGTTGTCGCCGAGTTATCCACCACCGACTCTACGCCTCCAAGACTTTGATTCCCTTTTCTGACTTGCCTTTGCAACCTTATCTTGCTCTTTGGCCCCTCCCTGTCTTCCCGTCTTGTCCGAGGACACGGTTCATAATACACTGCTTGCCTCTCTCTGATTTTTACCTATATACTTGCTTACAAACTCGCTTCTTGCAGCAAATCAACCGTTTCACCAACTCAACGACAAACGCAGCGCGCCGCTACTCTCGAGCAACTACACTCTCCTTGATAGGTATGTTTGTCTCCGTCTCAGATCTTGTGCTTTCTCTGCCTCTGGTACTCGGTGCTTCCGGCGCAATACCTCCTAGGTGAGGCGGTTTGGTGCATGGATCAAGTGTCCTGGATGCACTCGTGGGACCGTTGTGTTCAGTCAACGGGGTCTCTCTGAGAGAAGAGAGCCGCAAACCTGATCTGAATCGCAACTTGGTTCTGGCTTGGGCAAAGCCAAGTAAAACCACCAAATTGCTTGGCCCAATATGCCTCTTTGGTCTGTCTGTACTTGTACTGTATCCGTACCAGTTCGTTCATGATGCACATCGCCAAGCGGCAATACTCAATCGAAGGGAAATTTTAGTCGAGTGGATCCTCCACTTAATCGGCTCCGACGGCACTCCCGCCAGGGAGTCGAGCATCAAACCCCTGGATGTGGACTTGAAGTGTGTCACTGTACAGTCCTGTACCGTACCTTTGTGTTTTCCTTTACGACCTTGTTTTGGGAATTATATATGATCAACAGTGTGCAACTTGTATCTCTGGATCTATCAATCTATGCCCTTGCATCCTTTTCCTCTTCCTCCTCTCCCAATCCCCCAAAAAGATCTTTACTACTCTACTCTGCCCTACTTGAACACCATCTATTGCTTGAAACCTGGGCACCTCACTGACGAATCCGACTTGACTAGTGCTGTCACTATCTCCTCACCAAACCCGATTACCACGTTGCCATCTGACTACTGCTGGACCTTATTCAAGGACCAAACTCTTTCTTCATCAGCTCCAACGTTCTCAGGAACGCCAAGAGAGTCAAGGACGAATCCACTTTTGTAAAGTGGATACGTGGACAAAATTCCGCTCAAGCATCAGCCCTTGTGGAGTCACATTCGCATCTTCGCGCTTACACGCCTACTGTACGCTCACACCCACGCCCTGGGCCCGATCTGATCTAGTGGGGCACTGCGTACAAGCTTGAGCTTGGTTCTCACGAGGCCCTTCTTATAAGGACGCTGAGGACCTACCAAGGCACTGGATCCATTTACCCAAAAACTTCTTTTTGACCTCCCGCCCCGTGCGGACTATACTTCAACAACAACAACCCTTCACTTCACTTCACGTTACACATCCTTCACAATGGAAACGTACCACGGCTACGTGCGGACACCCGCCGATGCTATTCGACTCTTTGAAGCCTGCCGATTAGGCATTCTGCCCCGTGTGCAACGACGACTTTCGGAGAAGGAGAGACAATCAATTCGATCTGGTTCTGTTTTTGTCTGGGATGAGCGAGAGGCTGGCATGAGAAGATGGACCGATGGCAAGTCCTGGAGCGCCAGTCGAGTTTCCGGAAGCTTCCTGACGTACCGCGAGATGGAGGGCAAGAGAGGTGGAGGCTTCTCTACCAACCGACGAGGTGGTGGTAAAACTCCAGACTCTGGACGCGGTAGTGACGAAGATCAAGATGATGGAGAGCCTGAGGGATACCGCTATAAGGCAGACGGTCTCATGAAGCAGTCTTTCAGCATCACCACCTCCAGTGGCCAACACCTTCATCTCATCTCCTATTACTCTCGTCCTCAGCCTGGCCAGCCTGAGCTCCAGCAACCTACCAACGACCCTGCCTTGCGAGGCATCGTTCCTGTCAAGGGAATGTACCCTGAGTCTAGCATGGGCGAGGCCAACAGCACGCCTGCCCTCACTCGCGCGCCGATGCAGCAACCTCCTTACATGGCCCCTCAGCCTGGCCAACAACCTTACGCTAGCTACGGACAACCTGGATATGGCTGGCCTCCTTCTCCTGCCGCCACTCCTCCATACAATCACTACGCCGCTCCTTACCCTCCCAACGTGCCTCAACAATATCAACCGCACGCAAGCCATCCCGGCCTGCCTCTTCCTCACTACCCCCAGGCACCTGTTTATGAGCAGCGTGCTCCCCTCCCTCCTCTGCCCGCCAAACCATCTTACCCTTCAAACAGCTCTCCCCACTACTCTCACCCTGCCCTCCCCAGAGCTCACGAGTCTCCGCGCGAGCAACATCTCCAGGCAGCTGCCCAGAGCGCCATTGGTGATGTTCGATCCAGCAGTTCTCACTCTCATCAAGTCGCACTACCAAGCCTTGGCGCTGTGACTAACGGCCCTCCTGGCTCCTCTCTTGCGGCAATCAGCACACCTCCCAGCCGAACCATGAGTGTCAGCCCCCCTCGAAACTCTCGTCCTGAGGGAACCGGTCTGTCTACTCTGCATGCAGTGCTTCACCACACTCCTGCTGCTAGCGAAAGTGGCAGCGTTAAGCCCAGCAGCGCTGCCAGCAGTCCTAGAGCGTCTGGCGCATGTGGTCTGGAGAAGGGTGGTGTCAGCGAGGATGCGAGAGCCCTGAGAATGTTGGATCGCAAATTCTGCATCTAGAAGGAACCTGATAAAACGGGGTCCAGGTGAATCTTGGAGAGGCTCAAGCTAGCCTGAAAGCTAGCAAAGTATTGCATTGGGGAATTGTTTCTACACATCATATGCATCGTTACGGCGTCTTGTTTTCTAAAGGCGACAGCCACGGGGGCTTGTTGCGGTCAAATTCAGCGTGCTTATTTATGACAGGGAATGGAAGAGGAATGAATGAATTGGTGTTTCGGATCACAAGGAACCATCATGGTTAGGTGGTGTTTAGGTGCTATTACCAATCGTGTAACATCAGTCATGTACATAGATACCATAGTTGCTGAGCAATATCAGAAACATATGCACCAAATCTATCCGCCGTTTTCTTCATGATACATTGTACCCATTGCTTGCGTGACATCTTGTTCAAGGGTGTGTGTAAATGTAAATAAATCTAAGTGAGGTCAAGCTGACGAAGCCTTGAGCGCCAATACACTGCGTACGTGACGTGTAAGTCAGGGGCGGCACAACGGCACCTTGAGGTAGAATTACAGTAGAATTAAGGTTGTTGTCAACCCCAGGATAGTGTTCCATTCCCGTTTATCCGTCTGTGTATCGTATTGGGCGCCGCGTAGTCACTCAACACCATGGGCCGCGTCAGCCTGACGATGCCGAAATGCCGGACAGGGTGTGGCACAGTCTACAGCTTCTTTGCTCACAGCCAGTGAAAAGCTGAGTGAGCTATGCAGCCAGCGATTCTTGAATAAAGATTCGTCCAATTTTGGTTATTCCACCTAAACGTAAATGAAACAATTCCACTTGCCTAATCCCGATGCTTTGGATGCAGGCTTCACCTCGAAAGAGATTGGCTGAGAGGCGAGTAGGGGAAATGGCCGCGTAAGGGGAGGAGTCGAAGGAATAGGCAAGCAAGATAATTGCATGTTTTCTTGTTTCATTATCGAAGCCTAGAGCTTGGTCTGTCTGAGGGGTGTGGTTGAAAGAATTATATTCAACGTGGGGTAGGGTAGGCTATAAGCATGAATGCAGGCGTCCCTCGATTTTCATAATAGAATGAAGCAAGACAACACTAATACAGCTTAAAATTGATAGTCGCCCGAGCAAAAAACAGCCATTGTTATTCCTATGTCGTGGAGAGACACGATCGACATGTGAGGCTATCCGTAAAGGTCATGCACTCTGCGCACTTGACAATATATAGGGTTTCCCAGGATACCGATACTTTTCCTAAAAGAAGAGGATTGGTTAGAATAGATCTGATAGCTAACTCAATCTTGAGCAAGCACTTTACCATGCATACCCATTGTTACATCCATGACCGGTGAGGTATCTAAGGTAGGTACGTTACTTTTCTGATGTACCTAGGTACTTAGCTATTGAGGTGCAGTAGAGGTATCGCGTGTAAGTCGGAACATCATTTTACCGCTCCCCGCCGCATTGACAGCTGCAGGTGCTACGCGCATCAATGGCCAAGCCAGAATAATCAAGCTCAGCTCCGCGACGACCTGGCAATTGTCTTTGTCCACATCAATAGCAGGACAATGATATATCAATAGTTGCAAAACCATATCATCCCACTACCTACAGTATTGGCTTTCATTTTGCTCAGAGTTGGTCCCTTCGATAATCATGCTTCGGCAATCGATATAACTTCATAACCTTCCTATTCTAACTTTGCTCTGACTTCGATTCGGCATTGCGCTGATATCATCATGTTCACTTTTTGTCCACTACAGGGCGCCCTATCGGACTCTTCCGCTTCGCAATCCCTTCTTGAGCTCGACGGCGGTGTCAAGGTGCTGGTTGATCTAGGATGGGACGAGACTTTTGATGTAGAAAAGCTCAAAGAAATTGAGAAGTATGTTGCACCGTGTCTTTGCTTTTCGCAATGAAATCTAACAGATTTGTCACAGACAAGTAACAACTCTATCGCTCATCCTCGTCACACATGCGACAGCTTCACATCTCGCTGCCTACGCCCACTGCTGCAAAAACATTCCTCAGTTCACGCGCATCCCTGTATATGCAACACGGCCTGTTATTGACCTCGGCCGCACCCTCATACAAGATCTTTACACCTCGAGTCCCGCCGCGGCGACAACGATTCCTCAGAGCTCCCTTACCGAGAGTGCCTACTCGCTTACTCAAACGGCTACAACTGCGCAAAACCTCCTTCTACAGTCGCCAACCAACGAAGAGATTGCTCGATACTTCTCCCTTATCCAACCTCTCAAATACTCACAACCTCATCAACCTCTACCGTCGCCCTTTTCACCGCCTCTCAATGGTCTGACGATTACAGCGTACAACTCGGGACATACTCTTGGTGGCACAATATGGCATATTCAGCATGGCCTCGAGTCAATCGTCTACGCAGTGGATTGGAATCAAGCGCGTGAGAATGTTTTCGCTGGTGCCGCATGGCTAGGTGGTGCCGGAGGAGGTGGCGCTGAAGTTATCGAGCAACTAAGGAAACCAACTGCTCTAATTTGCAGTAGCCGTGGTGCTGATCGGACCGCACAGCCTGGAGGTCGCGCCAAAAGAGACGAGCAGCTTATAGATACAATCAAGGCCTGTGTTACACGAGGAGGAACGGTACTGATACCTGTGGACTCAAGCGCCAGAGTCCTGGAACTTTCATACCTTTTAGAACATGCCTGGAGAGCCGATGCTGCTTCTGAGGGAGGCGTGCTGAAGGCATCTAAGCTCTATCTGGCCGGTCGCAATATGTCAAGTACCATGCGATATGCTAGAAGTATGCTGGAATGGATGGACGATAGTATCGTGCAGGAGTTTGAAGCTTTTGCTGAAGGGCAGCGAAAGGTTAACGGCGCAAGCGATAAGAAGGAGGGCGGACCATTCGACTTCAAATATCTACGACTGCTCGAAAGAAAGGCCCAGATTGCGCGGTTGCTCAGCCAGAACATCGAGAACGCCGGGACAGAAGGCCGTGTTATCTTGGCGAGCGACAGCAGTATTGAATGGGGTTTCTCCAAGGATTTGATCAAGGGCTTGGCGCAAGACTCGAGGAACTTGGTCATTCTGACAGACAAGCCGGGCCTGTCCAAGAACGATAAGCCATCTATCGCGAGAACACTATGGGACTGGTGGAAGGAGCGAAAAGATGGTGTATCGGTGGAACGAAACAGTAATGGAGATAATATTGAGCTTGTCTATGCTGGTGGAAGAGAGCTGGAGATTCGTGAGCCTCAGCGTCATGGGCTGGAGGGAGATGAACTAGCACTCTACCAACAATGGCTTGCAACTCAAAGACAGCTTCAAGCAACCCAGCAAAGTGGAGGCGCAGCAGGACTCGAGGCAGCGGCAGATGTTGTGGATGACGCTTCATCCGAGTCATCTTCCGACTCAGAAGACGAGGATGGCGAACAGCAAGGCAAAGCGCTAAACGTATCGACAGCTATTGCTCAAGCCGGCCGCAAGAACGTCGTTCTCAAGGACGAAGACCTTGGTATCAACGTGCTCATTAAGAAGAAGGGTGTGTACGACTTCGATTCCCGGGGCAAGAAGGGTAGAGAGCGCACATTCCCTATCGCCATTCGAAGAAAGCGACAAGACGACTTTGGAGAGCTCATTCGCCCTGAAGACTATCTGCGTGCCGAGGAGAAGGAGGAAGAGGGTCAGGATAATGCCAATACAGAGGCCGCTGACGACAAACTTGGCAAGAAGCGTAGATGGGACGATGTTGCAAAGAATGGGATCGGTAATAACAAGCGACCACAAGCCATGCGGGCTGGTTCTGCCGATGGCGAAGAGGTTGGAGCCGGTGATGGTGCCGGCTTCATTCCTGACGAGCTTGACACTGTCGAGGATGCTGAGTCTGAAGAACCTATAGGTCCATGCAAGCTGTCGTACCAGACCGAGACCGTCCAGGCCAATATGCGCATTGCCTATGTAGACTTCAGCGGTCTGCATGATAAGCGAAGTCTCAACATGTTGATTCCCCTCATTCAACCCCGAAAACTTATTCTTGTCGGTGGTGAACGCGACGAAACTCTCTCACTCGCTGAAGATTGCCGTCGAGCATTGGGAGGCGACAGCAGCAATCCGGATAATTCGGGTAGCGAGCGCTCTGTTGACGTATATACCCCTGAAGTGGGCGTCGTTGTTGACGCTAGCGTTGATACCAACGCCTGGGTTGTCAAGCTGGCGGATCCTCTGGTCAGGAAAATCAAGTGGCAGAACGTCCGCGGTCTAGGTATCGTCACCATCACAGGGCAGCTTCTCGCCACACATCTCAACGAAGCTGCAGCTGCAGACGAGGAGGCTGCCAACAAGCGTCAAAAGACTGAAGAGGCTCCTTCAACTACAACTGTTACTACGACAGCCGCGGCTATCCCCTCGGCCACACCCGTCCTCGATGTTCTTCCTGCAAACCTCGTCTCCGCTGTCCGCTCAGCAGCTCAGCCACTACACGTTGGTGACCTTCGCCTTGCTGATCTACGCCGCGCCATGCAGTCCGCTGGTCACACAGCCGAGTTCCGTGGTGAAGGTACACTGGTTGTTGACGGTACCGTGGCCGTTCGCAAGACAGCCATGGGACGTGTTGAGGTCGAGAGTGTAGGTATGCCAACCGCACGGAGAAGCACCTTCTATGAGGTACGCAAGATGATATACGATAATTTGGCGGTTGTGGCCGGTGCCTAAACACTTATAAACTACTCAAAAGACAGTCAAGAGGCGTAATCGATGGGATGCGCAAATTTTGTACGTTGTGAGAGACCGTCAAGACAGAGGAGCATTCTCTTGGGGCCAAAATTGGTTACCAAGCTATAAGGGGGTCAGAGAATTACATAATATATAGTTGAGATAGAGTCAACATGGGCCCTGATAGCCAAATTCTTTCCCCCTTTTAGTGATTGACGCTATTACGTTTCGAAATGCGACTTCAAGCCTGCGCTATTGGTGACAGACTTGGACATGATCATCCGAACCAGATGTGATCTGGATCTCGACTGCAGTAGTCGGCATGGCTCCAGAGCATGTTTTAAAATAAAAGTAAGCTCTTTCATATTAACGTACATAAACGTGAAGAGCGCCCAAACGCCGAGCAATGCAGGTCTATTCAAACATGTCCAATAAGCCCATCAAGCTCATCTTACAGGCTGCATAGGCGCCATCTCGTATTCCCCACCACCATCTCTGCCCCGTCCTCTCACAGGAATGGCCATCTCCTCATCAGCGGTACTAGGCTGCGTCGCAGTGCCATCGGTAGACGCAGGACCTGTAGCAGGAAGAATGGGACGACCGCCAAAGAAGAGAGGCTGAAGCTCGCGGTACTGACAGCCCCAGATACCGAGACTAACAGAGATCGCGGATGAGATTAGCATGGTAAGCCACCAGGCTCCATGGCGAGGAATGCGGCCACTGTAGAGAGATGCGACAACGAGATGGAGGAAGTGGACAGTCAGGGCGAAGTCAGGAACGAGTTTGGATCGAGCTATAAGAGCAACTATCGCGATGGAGCTACAATTTCAAGTCAGTAACCATGTCCGCAATACTGAAGTTCATTGCGAAAGAACCACAGCTTGAGCTTGCGCTTCCCTTGTGTATCAAGGGAGTATAACTCACATAATCAACCCTCCATCTAGCAAAAGGATGAATGACATGAGCCATCCATGCGTCGTATCTCCCCTCACGCCCTCCCAGCCAAATACTAGCGTCCAACTAAAGCCAGAGCCCGACACGAGCGCCGTGAATATAATAAGAACCAGTGCCGCGAAGTAGTAAATGGCCTGCAGCGTCGCGATCTGGCCTGCGATTTTGAGAGGTGCTAACTCTGCGAGAGCTCCTGCGCGCGGAGGTTTGCGACGGCGCGGCATGCTGGATTGTCTGTGATATTTCGGTTCGAAGTTGGTGTCGGGTGTAACGTTCTATCGTAGTGTGGGAGAAAAGTTGGTCATCGAAGGAGCATGTCTCGTGAGGTCTTGTGATGCGTGTCGCCCTTAGGCTCAAGCTTTAGCCTGCAATTCAACTCTTTCTCAAATTTTAACTAATCTTGGGTTCTCCAATACAGAGCCTGCCCAATGCGAAGACTGAAAGCTGACAAAGAAAGAAAATGTTAGAATTGGAGTTCAAAGGAGGGAAAACGAAGGAGAGTTGAAGCAGGGAGGCTGCGTAAAGCAGGGGACCTTACCTACCTACGTACCTTAAATCAAAGGACAGATCAAAGTACATCAGCCACACCATAGATACCTAGCTAGGTACCCTGAAACGAGGCTTGAGCATATACCGCTAAACCACTTCCGCTTCACCGCCCATGATTTTCTGCCGCTCCCACTCGTCATACCCTTCCATTGGAGCTAACACGGGCTCATGAGATTTTGAGCCACCATCAACTCCAACTGATCCGTCTCAGCTGTCCCACTATTACAGCTACACTCCAGCTCTCCATTGAGCCTCACGTCTCCAAATCTATACATAAAATACAATCAAACATCTACAGAAAAATGGGCTTTTGGCCATTCTCAGGCGACTCCCGCGCCGACGCTATCCGCTCCGGCGATGCCATTCCCAACCGTCAAGAGCGCAAGATCTGCTGGGCTGCCCGCGATGCGTACTTCAACTGTCTCGACGCACACAATATCGTCGACGCTACCAAGGATCCTTCCGCAACAAAGCGCGCCTGTCCGACCGAGACGGCAGACTTTGAGAGGGACTGCGCTGCTGCTTGGGTCAAGTACTTCAAGCAGTGGCGGGTAGCCGATATCCAGAAGAAGCGACGTCTGGATGAATTGAGAGCCCAGGGTGCGCAAGAGATGACAGTCACGGCTAGTTTTGCCCCTGAGGGTGGTGCTGGAGAGAAGGGCAAAGGTGTGGATGATATTCAGGGCATGTTGAATAAGAAGAAATAATGGTTTGGTTGCATTCGAAAGGGGAGACCTCTCGGAAGATCGAAAATAATGGATGAGACAACGATCACGGAAGACTTCTTGAACAAGGACCATGCTTTGTTATACATATTGTATTATACCACTGTAAACTACAACACCATCACCAATTCACCCCACGTGTACAATTAATGTACGGCTTCAATATGTCCTTCCCTTTGCTTCCTTCCTTCCAGATGAGACAGCTCAAGTCTTTCTTTATCCTACCAGATCTATCTATTCCTACTACTCGAGTACCTCCTTGCATGTGCAAACTGCAAGCCCTGCCAGCTGATGACAATCAAATGAGAAACGACAATAAGCATACCAAAAATAAAAAAGGAATAATCATGTGAAGGGGCCGAGCCAATGAAGAATTGAAAGGACCATAAAAATGGTGTCAAAAACAAACTGTAGCGTGCTAAACGTGGTGGTATCATCCATGCCTTCTTTTTAATAAAGGAACCATATCTTGCACTCGTCCTCAAAGTGCCGTGCCGTCTTGTGCCACCTCGCTTGATGATGCGATGCGACTCGGCCCGCCATCTGCCTCAGTGCTTCTCTGTTTCGTCACCGACAAAGGAAATGAGATTGAAATAGAAACTTGCTTTCGTAGGCCGAGACCAATATGCCAAAGGTGTCGAGATAAAAACAAAAAAAAAAATAGTGCATGCATGGCTGGTCAAAGAACGGACCAGAATAATGGGGTGTCGCCGGGTGTCTCGCTTTTCTAATGCATCATTGGTGTTTGACAATGGTTCCGTCATTCGTCAACCTTGTGTACCTGCGTCGTTCGCTTTCTTAATCGTGATCCCTTTTTTGTCCTTGATAGCCTTGATTAGGTCGTGGCTGCAACCTAAACTACCATTCGTACTCCGTTATCATCTGTGCCATCCTTCCTCGGTAGCGGCGGCAGCTCTTTGTTGAGACTGTCATGGCTGACCCTATGTCGGAGCGTGGGACCGTTGTTGCCTGAAGCTGTACCGTTGCTCAAGCCTGCATATCCACTATCAGCACTTCCTGGTCCAAGATACCCAGACTTAGGAGGGGTTGGCGGCGGTGCTCTGGTAGGTGGGAGACTTTTGTTGAAATCCTTGGGGGGTGTCAGTGGGCGAAGTTCGTTATCATCCCGTGCATTCTCGCCCGCTTCTTGTACAACGGGAAGGATAGGCTCATGCTGCATTGAATCGCGAGTGTCCTTGGCAGTGCCAGTGGACAAAACTCGATCCGGTACTTGGTCTTCAGTGAAGCCGTGTCTCTCTGAGCGTTCGGCCGCCTTGTTAGCCCTGTCAAGCGTTTCCCGCGCTTCTGGGGACCGTGGACCGGGTGGTGGGGGAGGCACATGGCTAGGTACTGGAGGAACAGCCTGAGATGATCGACGACGAGAGTTCCAGCTTGACACCCTCGTTTCTGAGCGTTGCGCCTCAATCATCTCCTGATGTCTCCTCTCAGCCTCTCGGTGTGCTTCTTCAGTGGACATGGTGACACCCTCGATGAAATGGTAGAACCGGTCACCATACTGGTCGGGAGGTAGCGCCGAGATCTGTGTTTTGTCGCTGGACAGGCCCTTCCAGAAATGCTCGATCTTTTTGATAATTCCATACTAAAATATGTCAGTGGTGGATATTTCTAGTGTCAGACCAGAACTTACATGAGTGAGGCAGTCGATGACTCCCAGGTAGTAAATCTCATCCCCTGGTGTATTATCTTCGTGGGTCGCCCTAAACCCGCCATCATCTTGCCCGAAAACCCATCCAGGACGTTGCTGGCCCTCTTGCAACTCATCTGGCATCTTGTTCGCTGATTGACCCATGGGTACTGGTCGCTCCTGGCGAATCATCTGTCGCAGCTCCCTGGCCTTTCGTTGGTTCTCCAGTTTGGATGGGGTGCGGAGAAGAACTGAGTTAGGTTCATCATCAGGAGACTTTTCACCACCGGGATTGAACACTTGGAGCGTCTTGTCGCGAAGATTCTCCTCGTTCCCTCGTGAGACGTCGTGTATGCCAACCAATAGCGAATAATCCATGATCTTGAGTCGTTTCAATAAAGCGACATCTCGCTGCAGCTGCTCAAGGAACATGCGCTTCTTCTGAATGCCCAACTCCAGGCTTCTCTGTCGCCTCAGCCAGTTGAGATCCTTAAGCGTTGCACGGGGATTCTTCTCCAGATCCTCCTCTCTGTAATCTCGACCAATGGTGGATCCCTTCAGATCAAAGGTAGTGTGAATATCTCGGTGCGGAGGAAAAAGGTTATTCATCACAACAAAATGAATCTTCTTGCCATATGGCATCTTGACACGGTGGAGGCCGTAGAACTGTGAAAGAAGCATATTGGGATTGTCCTTGACGTGTTGATAGTATTCTTTGAGAATTTTGCGAAGGAACTTGTGCTCGGCGTGGTGAATGGTCTTGATAATATACTTGTAATCCCGTGAGAAGTAAAAGAAGCTCCCGCTTTTGCCTGGGGAGCCGAGCTCAGAAAGAATGTACTTGCCCGTAAGCGACATGAGATAATCGGCAGGATCCAGGTGGAAAAGAGATCGAAGACGGCGGAAAACCCAAGGAGCATAGTCCTTGAACTTGAAATCGTATTTTGCTGACGGTACCAGCTCATTACCGGCAATGTCAAATGTGGACTTCTGCTTAGTATCAAAGTCGGCATCTGTCAATTCTCGGTCGAGTTTGGCATTCGTTCTCGAAACCGAAACACGAATACCAGTAAGCATGTTATAGGCGGTCTCCCAGTTAGCATGAGTCTCGTCAACCTTCGTGCCGACAAGCACTCGGTCGTCATCCTCCTCTTCCTTTCTTCGCCGCTTGCTGGCCCGTTTTTGTCGCAAAGCTTCTGCCCAGCGAAGCGCATCCTCATCCGGCACAATCTCGTCACGGGGCCCATCTGACTGCATCGACCGAGTTGGTCTTCTACCCATACTCAATGAAGGTCGCCGGCCACTAGAGGTTCCGGCATTGGTAGGAGAGAAGCGGCCGCTAGACTGCGCAGTATCCATGCCGTCTTTGGATCCACGACCTGGGACGTACTTAGGCACATCGAGAGTATGCCTTTGCTTAAGACCAGGCGGAGGAGCTTGGAGATGCCCTGTCGACGAAGCAGCCGCGCTTGAAGGGTTGTAAATTGGCGGGGATGACAATCGATGAGCGCCATTGGTGCGAGGCTGCGATACCTGCGCCGCATCGGTATTTGTAAGTGGTGTGGTCGTAAACGTGTGAGTTCCGTCGATCCCACCGTTATGGGAATTTCCTGAAGCTTCTTCTGGGTGTTGAGGTTCTGATGGAAGAGGTTTTGATAGAATACTGTCATGTTGGTAGTCGTTCGTAGAGGGCATATTAGAATTGATCCCGTTGACGACGGGCGGCTGGTGGCGGGTACGGTCGACGAGGTTTGCGTTACCGTTCAACATGGGCTTCTGCTCAAAGTTGTCATGCTCGGCAGCACCGTCGTGTCGGAAAGGGTGTGTGGCCGTAGCGGACTTTCCATTAGAAACAGAGCTCATGCTCGTAGGCCGCGTGCTGTTACTGTTGCCATTCATAGGCGCTGGTGTAGATTCGGAAACTTCTGACGCGTGTGTAGAAGAAATTGAGCTCTCGTCAAAGCTCTCATTGATGGTGTCGGATCGGGTGTGGCGGATAGAACCCCCATTCACCCTCTCCTTGTTCGCGAATCCGAACTGGTTCGTGGGATCAAGGTTGAGAATGTCGGGGTTATTATTGTAGATTGTCGAATTGTCCTGGTCGGAAAGAAACGATGGCATTTCGAGAGGAAACCTAGAGAACTCGCTGGAAGACAAGACCAGCGAGCGCTGTCGCGGTAGATGCTACGAGGAAAAAGTGATGCTATTTCGAGATTAATCGGTAGCTTGGGTTGGAAATATGCCTTTGAGGTGTCGCCAGGAGCTACGCTCACTGTGATCCGGCTGTGTTCTTTCGATTCCGTCGAATTTGAGTCGAATATTATTAACGTTGCTGCTGGAACAATGGGCGGTAGAGACGAGAGGGAAATTGGGTCGAGGGCCTTGCTGGCTGGGGCGCACGGGGGGATGCTTGGCGGGTCGACCAATGGACAGGGAAGGGGACACCGCGTTGGGGGGGAGTCGGCAGGCGATAACGTTAAGTTAGAGTGAATAGACGGCCAAGAGCAGATTGATTGTTTGTTGGTGTTGAATGAGGATGATTGAGATGTGATGTGACGGGTGAACAGGTTTCGTGTATCTGTCCCGCTAGACTAAAGTGCTGTCGAATTAGTTCAGTTTTGGGTGTGAGACGAGATACAGTGAGGTAAGGCGAGGAACAGTACAGTACGGTACGGTACGATACGGCAGAGGTAGGTGAGGTGAGAGACAACGAAACAAAAGGGTGGTTGGTGGACTGAGGCTGGAGAAATTCGGGTGGAAGAAAATGACGGGCGTTCCCTGGAACCTCTGAGCTGCTCCTGCCTTGCCTGGGCTGGCACGTACCTAAAACTGGAAATGAGGCGTGGGAGAGACGGAAGGAAGAAGGGGGAAGAGGATTGGGGATGGGGGGGACCCGGGATTCCGGCTGATATGAGGGCCCGTGGACTGTCACTGGTTTTACTGGGCACAGCGTATTTCAGGGCACTCTATCCGTACCTACTCTGTAATGACTCTCCACCTGCTGTAGCAATGCACCTGGACCTTGAGCCAACCATTCAACAGGCCCGCTGGAAGGGTTTGCGTGGCATAGTCCCAGGACGTCTGGGCTTGGCTCATGGCTTGGCAGACGGTGTATGTTCATACACGACTTTTGAATACCACTAACTACCAGTGGCTTATAAAATGGGCGTTTAGCTCTGGATGGTTACAGGTACGGTTCAAAGTGATAGAGAAACGAGGACGCCATTGACACAATAGTATCGGGCATAAATTGCCGGTGCCTGGTGTATTATTAGACATAGACGGTATTGGAAGTTAAATTTGATGATGACAGAAACTCGTACTGGGACTCTCATCCTTGAATCTCGCCAAATTACTGGCAAAACAGATGGAAGCCAAAGGTCAGTATACATAGATCTGATAAAATCTGACCAGGACAATTGGATTGCAAACATATTTGAGCACATGATGAAGTTATGGAATAACCTATATTTCTCAAAAAAAAAAAAAAGTTATCTCTTCTTTCAATGCGATCCATGTCACGATGCATCACAGGAGGTTACCAAGGAGGTACCTAACCTAGGTAGGTACTGGTAGGTACTGTATGCTGGCTTGGTGGGTAAGGACTACCTAAAGGAGTGACCGTCTCGCTTCTTCTACGTATTATGTCTTTCAATGTGAAACCTCAACCATTGGCTTGTCCTCACCATCCACAACGGCTATGAGAGCTTTAACTCAAAGGAATGGCTATTGTTAGATACACGTAGTCAATAAGTGTCACGACGGGGACGTTCTTGTGCTCCAAATTGAGAGAGAGTTCTTTGGATTTCCTCGTCCATTAACCTAATGTACAGAATGACTACCTGTACTAATGCAGCGCCCCCCCCAGGCACCGTCCGTTTACCTACGTACACAGCCACGGGGATGAGATCCGCTTTCCCCATCTTCACTTAGGTACCTGGGCTTTCCAGCCTGGCAATTTCATTCTCGTGAACGTTACCAAAGCCTTCACGATCTTGATCCTCGTTACGGATATCGTTCTACAAATGAACAAAGTAGCAATATGAATTTATGGTGTTTCTAAGCCTTACGAAACTGGCAAAACCAACGAGTCGAAAGGTAGCAACTGATCGCCAGACCTACCGTTTTGACCAATATCGACTGACAGGATCGGCGCCTTTGTCTTTCCACTCTTTTGCTTAACTACCAAGACACTGGTCTTGTTCCTGTTCATATCTGTCCGTCGGGCCCCATGTGTCTTGTCTTGTCATGTCTTGTCTTGTCTTGTCTTCACCGCTAGCACGTTCCGTCATAGCTGGGACCCTTATGACACCAGTGATTGATCAACGTGATATTCAGCCATTGCATTGAATATCTATCTCTTTTCAACTCTGCATTGCCTTGGACACCTCGGGTGCGTAATACTGATACGCATACGCATATGCATGACCTGTTACATACTATTTCAAGGGAATGTCATTCTACTTCAGAACATAGGTAGATTTGTTATGCTGTAGACTACTGTACCGATACTTGATTCTGATGCACTCATACTGCATCCATCCCCCATCGTCAAGGCCAAGCTTCGGCATTTCACGCATCAACCCCAAATTCCTTTGAACAAGCTCTCTTCCTCCACAAAAGCTCTCTTCTATTGGTACTCTTGGCTGCCTCTTAGACTACTCTTTTCGTGAATAACAGATAACCCCCTGCCAAGCCATCCAGAAAGCACGGCCCTCTCGGGGTTCGCGAAGAATGCAAAGAGCTGTGACAGCAGACAGCCCAGACTACTCACACTCACAGTACTCTCCTGTCATGGGAGGATCCACTGTTTACGCAATCTTCAGTGATCCTTTAAGCCAGGCACCACAACTAAACTTTCCTGACCTCTCGCTATTGTTCTTTTAGGGGAGGCGAGAATAAACGAAGGTTGTGATTTTCAGGAACACCTTGCCACTAACGAAGCTTGTTGATCGATGAGCAAAATTGTCAAGACCCAGACCCTGCCTGTTACGCAAGATTGCATTCCAGATTTGCTGACTCAGCTTTTCTGCCTTTTTGCCAGAGCCTCGTAATAACTCAGGATGAAGGAGCGTCACTTTGTTGTCGCAGACTGTTTAATACAAACCATATCAACATTTTACGCGTCATCAGTCATCAGGAAGTCCATCTGCATGAGAGGAAAGTGGGACAGCCCACGGTTTTGCTCAGAGAGACTATATGCCTTACTAACTCCAACAACGCCATTGCATCATGCAACAAGCACTGCATGCAACGGTGCGAGCCGAGCCGGTTCGAAAGCCATAAAGTCCATCCAGTTTTCCTTCCCAAAATCGTTGTTTTTTGTTGTTTTTCTCATTTCCTTATTTTTGTTCATGCTGTGCAGTTGCAGCTCTCTTGTTGTTCTGTTCTCCAGTCTTGTCGCGGGAAAGGTTTGTTCGAGCCAAGACAGCGTTCTTGTCCATAAGAAGGAACAAGCAAAGATCAAATACCATGATGCTGCTCATGGGCCTCATCAAGCCCTTCCGAATCCACCAATACGTCTAACTGAATGCGTCCCATCTCATGAGGTCCGTTCGTCTAACGTAGATTTGTCGTCAGGGTATCATATCCCCCGTGCGCTCTGCAAAGGTACCGTTCATGTTAACCGCGGAAATTGCAGCCCTCAAATGCAAACCGAGGGCAACGCCTACGCGTGAAAAGCCTCGAACGCCTCGATTCTCAGAAACACCCCCTTTTTCCTTTCTTCCCGCACCGATGGGCTATGCCAGCCCCAAGCGGGTATGTCTACCGTGGTTGATGCCCAAAGAACGCATTTTCCCTGGAAGTTCCATTTCTCGCTCTCATTCATCATCCGTAGATATCATGAACCAAACCAAACAGAATGTCAAAGCCGATGGTAATGGTACAGAGTAGCATGCTCGAGTCAAGGAAGCCTCCGAGGCTATCAGTCCAAGAACGTGAGAACCATGTGGGTCTGTACTCGCGATTTCTCCGGACCCTTGTATGAAGTCCGTAATAAAAGTTTCGAAGTGGTTGTGATCCATGGGCAATGAAGTCCGTTTCGCCGTTCTCTCCATTCGCAGAAAATATGCGAATAATGTACAATCCAACACTGAAATGATGACCCAGTACAAAAAAAATCATGTCAAAAAAATCCATCCGGAAACCCCCCTTCTCGCCCACCTAACGCCATGCATGAGTATATATGATATTAGGTTTGGACATCGCGGGGCGGGCCGCGACCTCGACCGCCTGCGCCTTGGCCACCGCGGCCACGATATCCTCGTCCACGTCCGCCACGGCCGCGTCCGCCGTTGTAGTGCGGGTTGCCGTGCTGAGGGTTCTGGCTCTGCCAGTTACCCTGGCCTTGCTGAGGCAGACCAGCCTGCTGCGTCTGCTGAGGCTGCTGGTATTGCTGTTGCGCTTGCTGCTGCTGAGGAGTCTGTTGGCCCTGCGGAGCAGGTAGCTGACCCCTTTGGAGGTTGGAGATGGGTCGAGGAATCGACTCGGGGTTCTCGTAAACATAGAGGCTCTTGTCGATGCTGGCAGGGATGGGTTGGATTTCGGTACCAAGATCCCGCTCAATGTTGTAAAGGTTGAAGCGGTCATCCCAGTTGATCAGGTTAATAGCCAGACCCAGGTGACCGTAACGACCAGATCGACCGATACGATGGAGGTAAGTTTCGGCATTCTTGGGGAAATCAAAATTGATGACGACGTTTACAGCCTGAATATCGATACCACGTGTGAGTAAGTCAGAGCAAACCAGGTTTCGGCAGACACCGTTGCGGAAATCGTGGAAAACACGGTTTCGTGCATGTTGCTGCATCTTGGCATGACTGTAGAAGCAAGAGTAGCCAAGCTCAGTGATTTTCTTCGCCAGAAGCTCGACTCGGTTCGTGGAATTGCAGAAGATGATGGATTGGTTAATTTGGAGCTTGGAGAAGAGTGTGTTCAAGCAGTGAACCTTCTGCTTCTCTTCGACGAAAGCGTAGTATTGGGTGATACCCCTCAGAGTGAGCTCGTCCATCAGGTTGATCTCATAGGGGCTGACCATGTTCTTATCGGAGAAGTCCTTAACGGACAGAGGGAAGGTGGCGGAGAAAAGCATAACCTGTCGGTCCTTGGGGTGAAATTGCAACAGTTGCTCAATGACAGGAGTGAACTCAATTGATAGAAGCTTATCGGCTTCATCCATAACGAACATGGGGCATTCGCTAAGGTCGGCAACATTCTTGCCAGCAAGATCGAGAATTCGGCCTGGAGTACCGACCACAATATGGACAGGATCCTGAAGACGAATGATATCATCTCGAAGGCCGGTGCCGCCAGTCGTGACCATAACATTGATGCCAAGGTGCTTACCGAGGGTCTTGCAGACTTGTGAGGTCTGCATGGCAAGCTCACGTGTAGGGACGAGAATGAGACATTGGATCTTGGAAACTTTGGGGTTGATGCGTTCCAAGGTAGGAATGACGAAGGCAGCTGTTTTGCCAGTGCCATTCTTTGCACGGGCAAGAATATCTCGGCCGGTTAATGCGACGGGGATGGCTTCCTCTTGAATCGGTGATGGCTTCTCAAATCCTGCTTCAAAGATACCCATGAGCAGGTCTCGCCTAAGGGCAAAGTTTTCGAACTCGAGGCCCTTTGTGTTTGTAACATCCTAGAGGTCAAGGTTAGCCCGTGTTGGTGTTGGATGCGCCAGAAAAGATGGCTGCAGCATATACCTCTGTTTGTTGTCGGTTATCTTTGGCTGGGAGGTTGAGGTTCTTCTTCCACTCGTCACTCGCGCCGGGAGCACCGTCACTGCTCGAGTTAGTCCAAGCTCACAAGGGCCGCTAGGGCGGCGCAGCGGACCTGAGTTGGGTGGATTTCAGCTTGTCTGCTAGCTGATCCGCCATTGCGTGTATAGGATCCGTCTACGGATCGAAAGAAAGTAGATGGCGAGGTATTATATGCAAAACGGCACAGAGGTCGGCCTCTCGAGGGATCGGGCGCGAGGGGGCAGCTGGTGAGGAGCTGCAAGACAGGCGTCGGTTTGTGTGGGGAGGGAAGTCGGAGGAAAATCGGTACGCGAACTAGCCGAGAAGGAAGGCTCGAGAATGGATGAAAAAAGCTCTGGTTAGTCGAAACCGCGTAATCGAAGTCGTATAGTGAGGTTATTGGTCGTCGTGGAGTATTTAGAGGTGTGGTTGTTAGCGGAGAGAAGAAATAGAGTAGGCTCAGTCTGCGAGTTTGAAGGTGAGGGTGACGATGGTGTGTGCCTCATTCGGCGGAAGGCCTTGCGCTTCTAGTCACGTGTTGGCGGGGCAGCCCGGTTTTCGTAAACGTAGACGGAGACGTACGGACGGGATAAGAGCTGAACAGGAGGAGCCTGGACAGTGGGAGCGATCTAGGTAAGGTAAGGTACCTAGGTAGGTAGGTTGGAATTTCCTGGACCTTGACAAAGTTGGTTTGGTTGGGTTGGGTTGGGTTGGAAGGAGGTTTTCAGATGGAAGATACCAAAGTTGAAGCTTTTTTTTCTTTTTACTTTCGACGTTAAAGTTAGATAGTCTCAGCGGTTACGGATAGTCAGGTCAGGTCAGGTAATACTTAATTCTATCGGTGAAAAACGTGGTACAATTTGTTTGTTAACTGAAGACGACCTAGACGACCTGGGTAGAAATGCAATCTGGGTGTTGACTTATTTGTACTCAAATGAATGGCAATTGGTGTTCTCTAACAAGCGCACCAATTAATAGTTGCTAATAGGCCACCTAACTACTAACCTTTCTATGTCGATTGTCCCAACTCGATGGGAATGGATCATGTTGTGTTGCCTTGTCACAAACTTCATGATCAATTGACCAATAGCCACGAGTCAAGTATATAAGCAACGTCTGTATACTCTCATGACAAATTCTCGCAGTGTTAAACAGTAAACTAGTTTTAATGGTATCCGTTCTTGAATTGCCATCGTATCCAAGCCATGGCTAATATTCAACAAACAGTAAAAACTCCGAAAGATGTGGCGCTGTACTTATACAAGACATATCCAATCACAACCCCTCAAAGCTTCATTCCTACCGCCTTTGCCACTCTCAAACTCTGTCGCATACTGAGATCAAGCATAATCTCTTCGCTGCCACCAGGGATAGCGTACGCTCTCACATCACGGTAGAGTCGCTCGACCTTGGCGCCCTGTCCACCGCGGGAATAGCTCAGGCCTCCAAAGATCTGACTGGCCTCTCGAGCGCAGAACTCGAAGGTAAGTGTGGACTGGGCCTTGAGGCCGGCGATGGGACCGCCGAGTCGCAGCATGGCCTCGGTCTCTCCCATACGCTCACACTGAAAGATAAGGTTCTCGAGCCAGTTGTATGAAGCTTCGATTTGGCGGGCCATGTGGGCAAGCTTCATACGAATGACAGGGTGATCGATGAGTTTCTTGCCAAAAGTGCGTCGCTTGCTGCCGTACTTGACAGACTCCTCGTAACAGACGCGGGAGAATCGGAGAGACTGGATGATGATACCCATACGCTCATGGTTGAAGTTGGTCATAATAACTAGAAACATGTTAGCCTCAGCCAGAAGTCGTATTTGCTTCAACTTACCCTTGAAACCCTGATTCTCCTTGCCGAGCAAATTCTCGACGGGAACCTTGACATCTTCAAAGGTGATGTACGTTGTGCCGGAGGAAAGAACGCCTTGGCAAGGCATGCGTCGGGTTGACACTCCCTCACTACGCTCGATAAGAAGCAGCGACACACCATTCATTCCAGCCTCGCCCGTTCGGACAGCGACGGTGAAGTAGTCAGACCAGATACCGTTGGTAATCCATTTCTTTTCACCGTTGACGATATAGTGCTTGCCATCCTCACTCAGCTTGGCCTCACATGTCAGGTTAGCAACATCGCTACCAGCATCGGGTTCAGTGATAGCTAAGCAGATTCGCTTCTCGCCACTGAGGATACCAGGCATAATGCGGTCTTTGAGCGCCTTCTTGCCGAACTTGATGAGAGGAGGGCAGCCAATACCGAAACCGCCAATAATGTTCCAGACAAAGCCACCGGAGCCGGTGCGTGACAGCTCATCGGTAATGATCATCTCATGGAAAAGATCCCACTTCTCAGCAGGGACGGACTTGACACCACCCTTGGGGGCATATTGGGTTGGGTACTTGACACCGAGAAGACCAGCAAGGTAGCCACGGCGACCCATCTCCTTGTAAATTTCCTCAGGAACCTCCTTGGCCTCGTCCCAGTCAGTGACATGAGGCTCAATATCGTTCTCTATCCATTCGCGGATCTCGGCGCGCAGAGCAGCATGAGATTCGTTGAAGTAGGGTGAGTGGTACTAAAATTGTAAGCACTAGACTTGACAAGGGGAATTGTCCATGTCAAACGTACACTTTGGTACCAAGCAGGGTCGGCAAAGGGAATCTGGTCACCGAACGGCTCTAGAGCCTCGGCTTCTTCCTCCTTGGCGGCAACCTCCTTCTCGACAGTCTTAACAGTCTTGGGTGTAGGAGCCGCAGGCACAGGTGCAGCGTTGGCCTCGGGTTTGGGCTCAGGAGCCTTAGGCTTGGTGTCGAGAGAACCGACTAGAAGTTGCTTCTTGTACTTCTTGAGAATGCCTTCGTTGTGGTATTTCCAGAACTGCTTGGAGGCGTCCTTACCAGCAACGCGCTGAAGGATCTTTTTGCCGCCTAATAACGAGTCAGACACGCGTTATAAGGGATAATTCTTTAATCAACTTACCGGGGTGATCATCTTGGAACTTTGTCAAGTCATAGACATCACCGTCGACGATGATGTACAAGTCTCCAGGCTTGTTATGCGACGCAACGTCGCTTGTTGTAAAGGTCTTGGACATGATTGTGAATGTTTTGCTGATCCAACACGAATGAAGCGCGATTGGAAAATCAGAATCAACCACCAGGAAGGAAAGGTATCACAGGGGGAAAGGCGTAATGTGAATAGAGAAATATGAGAGGAAAGGAGAAGGAAGAAGAAAGGATAAAGATTCTTTGATGGTGATCCTTTTTAATAATTTCAATGCTTCGGCAAAAAAGTAAGTAGGTATAGGTAGTTAGAGGTAGGATTACAATCACATGTTCCCGTACGGACACTAGAGGTAGATTTACTCCACCCCCATGTTTCTGATGAATAGGCCTTGCCTTTGGTCTGGGGAATAGATTAGGACTAGGTACTCGACGTCGAACAACACTTCAGGTCATGAGTCGTGTCTTTCACGGCATTTACTTACTCGATGCGGTCATGGCCAAGATCATGTGCCATGCGTCTCAGGTCGCTGTCGATTCTGACAGTTAAAAAAGCATGTGAAAGAGCCGCAGTAGTAATTGCTCCCATTGATGTCATGATGGATGATGCCGAGGTTCTTACCCCCTGGCCAATCGGAGACGGAGTATTGCCAAATACACATACAGCCTCCGAGGTACAGCAATTTGCTGCTTCTCACGACTCGCACTGCAAATCCTCGTGGGGGACGGGTAATGTAACGATCTGTTAACGTGGGGAAGTCCGCCTGTATGTATGTATTTCTTCTTTGCATGTGTCTTTGAATTTCGTGCGTTTTGAATGGTTCGTCTACGTCGCGGCAAAGCCCAGTCTCGGATATACCTAGTCATATACCCTCACTAGCAGCCGACTCAACTCAAATACGCGGGTACATGGTCATGACCGCAGCTACAGTGATGCTAGAGAAGAAGCGTTCTTTGTTGTACTATCGCTATTGTCAGCTTCAAATGGTATATACTGAGATATCCGTGCTTGTTTCATTTCAAAAGAGGTAGTACTATCACCAAATCCACAAGTATTATATTCGCCAAAGTCAACGAGTTCAGTCAATTGTCACTTGCTTGTATTTTCCCCGTTTGACACAGCCAGCACGTATCTCTAAAATCCATAGCAAACCTATTGACGGCCACCAGATAAGCTTCCAAGTGGTAACCTATGTACCACGCCGATAACTCCAATACGCCAGCCAGCACCGCTATGTAGCCCAGCTTTTTCCATACTTGTTTTCAGTACGTTACATCTCGTTATTTGCTCAAAACGCCGAAAGACCATCTACTTGGTACCTCGAGGCTTCGCCTTAGAAGCCACCTTGTCCTTCTTCTCCTGCTTGGCCTTCTTTCTCTTCTCTTCATTCTTCTCCTCCAATTTTCGCTTGTGTGCTGCCTTCTCCTCATCCGTCTTGGGGACTGGTTTGAAGAAACCCTCGAGACGGGCTTGCTGAGAACTCTTTAGGTTCTTCTCCAAGCGGGCTCCTCCGCTGCGAACACGGTCCTCCGAGAAACCCTTTTCGGTGACCAGAAATTGGACAAGGCCTTCCATGTCGGGCTTCTCCCACTTGAAGTCACAATCAGGGTGATCGGCCTGGCGCACATCCGGCTCGAAAAAAAGGTCTCGTGCGTCCTTGTAGGGCCAATCTTCGGGGATGACATACTTCTTCTTCGAGTCCTTCTCGATCGCCTCAACAACCTTTTCTAGCGAGCCATGGTCGCGGATCATCTTGAGGGCTGTACTGGGTCCGACCTTGGGGATTGGGTCGAGATAATCACAACCGAGCAAAATGCAAAGATCGACAAACTAGATCTGAATGTTAGACCCGGGAAATCATTCAGAGTGATAGGGTCAACATACCTGCTTTCTTTCCATGTTCAAGCCTTCAAGTACTCTCTCTAGGCGAATCTCCTGAATAGGTTCCTTCCTCTGCTCGCTGAATGTAAGGTGGCGTAGCAGAATAGGGGTGTTGAAGCAGAGGGTATCCATATCCTCACTAGCAGCCGCATACACCTTGCCAGCCTGAGCCAAGACGGCACACTGGGCCTCAGCCTCCGTAGGCGCAATGATATAAGGTATACCCATGAGCTTCAGCAGACGCTGGCACTCCGCATTGTGCTCACGGGTGACACGAACGGTTCGTCGCGAGAACTTTTCAATGTCCTCTGCTGTACCTGTCTCCTTGGCCTCCTCGAGGCCTTCAGTAGCCTCTTGTTTGCGTTGGAAACGCTTGGCCAGTTCTCCTGACTTGAGCTTCGGAGGCGCACCATCGAAGACATAGAGAGGCTTTATGCCGTTGTCAACCATACGTAGGGTACGGTAAAACATTCCCATTAGATGCGATGTTGTCTCTCCACTCTCATTCATAAGCTGCTGACCTTCGGATCGTACGGCGATGAGGAAACTGTAAATACTCATTGACGCATCCTAATTAATTGTTAGTTTGGGTTAACCAATCTGTTTCTGGCTCGACTCTGAACTTACAATGGCGACCTTGCGGCCAAACTGGTTCTTGATCTCACCCTCCTTGATCGCATCTGGAGCTTCCTCCTTGATGATCTGGAAGAGTTGTTTGATGCCCATGGCTGTGGCTAGTCTCCTTGTGTTTTACTGTTGTTTGGTCGGGGAGACGAAACGGAGAGATAATAGCAAGTTATTAGTGACAAGAAAGAAAAGAAGAAGGGTAGTTGATCATTGGGGAAAAAGAAACAGATGCGCAAACGAGAAAGAAGAAGGGACTTAACGCGTGTGGGACGTCATGACGCGCCTGTCGCGCCGGAAACCGCAGGGATCTTAATTGACCCCACCGCGACTGCCTAGAACTGCGTTTCCATCAGACTTACATCCATACCGACCTCTAGTTGTTACTAATGCAAAACTGTAGGTAGACTTTACCATCACAATGGACTGAACATGACAGCAAGCATAGTTGCGATTATATCTATTCAAACATGGAGCCCAACTCACACTACCTACTTATGTGGTATATACCATTGCCAGTGCATGGTTAGCTAAGGACAAGGAATCGCATACATATCACGATACTACTAAATATCGAGGGCCAAGACAATGTATCGACGTTCAAGCTCCTAGCTCAGGTTACAGCGTCCCCCGCCAGCCAACTAGTTCTCCGTCATTCTTGAAGTAAACCTCAAAAAGTCCAGTGAATCCATTAGCTAGTAGATAACAAGACACACAAGAGCCAGGAGGGTGCTCGAGGCACCAAAACCTCTTCCCAACCCACCTCTGAGGCGTCGAATAAGCAATCAAGTGCTTTCATTAATATACCGCTCGGAATACAGAGCAGTCAAGGATGGGTCTCTCCTTGCGCTCCACCTTGCCGTGCGGAACATGTCACATTGAAGATAAAGAGGTCGTATAATAAAGGAGCCAAGATTTCACGCGATCACAGCGGTGGTCATGCATACGAGCTGCTTGTGTGTCGTAGGGGTATCGTACGTTTCGTCCCCAGCACTGTTCATTATCTCGTTCTCGACATCTACTCGCTTTAGTCAGTTCCACAATCCGCGGTATGCGCCCAACAGACTCATGTCCGTCTTCGGCCATTATCCATGCTCTCAAGTGTTTTGTCAATCTCCATAATATCCAGCATCTCAACTTCCACATTTCTTTCATCATCGTCGACTCCAATATCCGCTGCCGCGTTTAGTGTGTCCATGAAGTCGAAGCCAATCGTTGGTCGTGACGATGGCAGATTAGGATCGGGTTCCTGTCCAAAGTCATGGTTGCCTCGAAGTCGCAATGTACCTGGCTTTACAGTACTCAGGTTGAACGAATTCTTGGCTAGTCTTGTTTGCTTGCCGTGCACAATGATGGCATCGGACTTATCCCCCTTTGAGAATAAGTTACGCCTTCTTGCGTTGACCACGGCACCGACAATCTTGCCTGGTCCGTCCTCTCCTTCCCGGACAACGACGATCCTGGTCTCGCCGTATACGATAACATCCGCTGGTATACTGATGTCTTGGGCTGTAATGTTGTGGTCTGGGTCTATCAACAGCCCAACTCCACAACATCTCTCGCCCAGTAGCCCAGTAGCCAGATCTAGAAGCTTGATCATCTTCACAGGCTGAGTACCACTGAAGATGTCGCCACCAGTACCGGTAGCCTGTCGCAGCTGGGAATCCCAGAATCGTGTTATTCCGGGGATAACACAAACATGTTCCAGTCCACCCACCCAGAGAACGACTGTTTCGTCTTGAATGGCACTTCCACTGCTCGGCAAAGACAGCACTTTGATGCCTCCTCGGATGGTAGCCAAGCGGTCAAGGGTGATGGCAGAGCTTAGTGAGGCGGTAGCTTGTCGTCGAGTGTGAGGAGTCATGGGCGCAAACTCTCCAGTAGTATGCTCCTTGTTCTGTGTCGTAATACTTCTCAGTGAGCTTGTCCCCTCTATGTATCCAGAAGCGCTGAATGTTGTCAAAGCGGCTCCCTTGACTCCAGTTTGGAGTTTGCTTGAGAGGACAGCGCCTGGTCCGGAAGGACTGACACCATCAACATCCCAGATACCCCACATGCCGTCAGCTAGGAGCACTAGTATCGCACGCCCATGTGCTACCCAAACAGCGTCGATGATCGGCTTCCTTGTCGATAAGGGGCGAGCAAAAGGCTGGTACATTGAGAGTAGCCATGAGCCCTGGACAGGAAAAGGTCCGGTGGCATCTGTGTCGGTGAAGGAAGGTCGTGCAAAATCATAAATACGGACGCCCTGTAGTGCCGAGACAGCAAGCAGCTGTGTCGTATGCGTGGAGTTGAAAGATATGCTTGCAAGGGGGTTGGGTAGATACTCGGTCTGGAATGGCTCAACAGCTTTGGAGGGTTTGTCACCGATATCTAGAGGGACATCCCATAACCGAAGTACACCAGAAGCCTCACGTGAATGCGAGGCCACAACAGCCCTCGACTTCGTACCAGGTCGCTCAGTCGATGTTGGCATAATCAGGTTGATGGCGATGCCCTCGCTGTGCTTGTTCTGGCCACCGAGCAAGATGAGCGACTCACCCCAAGCCCCAGAACCAGCCGTTCCTGCCAGAAGATCGTTCCTGAGCTCGGGTCTCGCCTTGCTCTCTGGTGAAGGGGGACTCAGAGGGAGCGTAATGACATAGACATCGTTCGTGGCACATGAGACAGCAAAGGCCATCTTATCGGTAAGTACTTTAGCTCCTCCCCAGGCAGCGTCTTCTGCAGGTGTTGGAGTCATGGGCATAACCGCAACTTTCAGGACCGCAGTTCCAAGCGCAAGATCGAGAGTCTGTACTATTTCGGGGTATGGGCTGTCCTCGACCTCGTCCTCAAACTGGGGTTTATCCTCATAGTGAGATGAAGGCTTTGACTTTGCTGGTGGTTCGTCGTCATCCGAGTCGATGATCATGACAGAATCCTCCGCACTTCCATTTTGCTTCTCGGGTTGGGTCGCCTTCTTGGCAGTCTTGAATCGCTTACCTCCTCGCCATGCGACAGTTACGCCATTTTCATGGCCGTATATGAGGATTGTAGCACCCTGGGGAGAATAAACGGGGTAGGTCTGGACATCGTTCACGCGTCGCGAGATATTGTATCTGATACAGTGAGATGCTATTCAAGATAGGGGACTGGACGTCGGGGACGGAACTTACGTGAACTGTGTGTTTTGCGCCGTGCGACGGATTCGAGGTGCTGGGATAGAGCTCATGTTGAGATGAAGGTCGGGCAATTAAGCCCTTTGGAAGAAAGTAGCAGTGTTCCTATCGGTGGGCAGATAGGCCGGAGTATTTTAGTAGCGGTGGGAGACTGTGGTGTTCCTCTGATTTTGCTAGTTTTCTTTACTTGGGTTTTCGTATGATCAATGCTGAGCTGGGAACTTTTCCAACGCGACAAGCATCGCGCCAAGCTCCAGAGCTACAGCAGAGTCACGTGATGTTGATATCATTTACCTACCCTGCACTCTCGCCTGAGATGGGTGAGAACCATTTCCTGCTGTGTCTCGAATCTATTCAAGGTCCGCTTTGTTGAAATTGAAAACATAGCGCATGCATCGAATAGATGTGATCTAAGTTCATTACAATTGATTTGGCGGCTTCTGAAGGCAGGTGGCTGGCTGAGCCATGGGAATGATCAACTGGTGACCATAGTGGTGACAATAGCAACAATCATACTGTACCGATTCAGTGCCACGTAATATGAGAACTACCGAGTACCTCATGGCCAGAAATTGAGGGGATCAAATTTAATCGACACTAGTATATATTATCCAAAAAACGTCAATGTAATCAGACAAGCAACCCAAGCGGACCAGCGTCTCAAGCTTTAAGTGGTGGTATATGACTATGCACAATCCTACATACACGATCATCGGTCCATGGTAGGTAAAGATAACGATCAAGTTGGAAAAATAAATAAAGCGACGAGACAACATCCCGTACTACCAGTCAACCCACCCAATTCGTGATATCTCGATGGGGCTGACGTCCTCCCCACGTCCCATTGCATCTGTGACACCTCACTCCCTGCCATCCTACCAAGAAATCCCAAGAGGACCTGTCGCCCCCTGTTTTTTAGATTTGTTTTCACCCCCGCGCAGGAGCGAGAATTTGTACACAGGAGATACGTGACTCCCAGTCATGAAGAAAAGAAAACAGACGTGCCAATTACACGCGGGTATGATTGCCGCTGAACAGCCCTTGTGCGAAGACGACACCCGTCCTGAGGCGAAACGGATGAAGGATGACTTCTAGAAAGGCATTGGTGGCATTAATCCCATCTTCTCCTGTCGCTTCGATCAAGGCTTATTGCTAAAAAGTAAGGAGGTAATGAACGGATGGCGTAGGGATAGCCGGCGTGCCATATAGCATGGTTGATCAAATCCAGTCGTAATTTCTGCAGACCAAAATAGTAGAAAAATGTCTAGTCCTACGCCCGAAAAGAATCAAACGCCGCCACGTCGTCGAGAGTGATCGATTGGCAAACAGACATGAGCTATCATCCCGAAAACGCCGTAAATGCCGAGTGAGAAATGGATGAGAAGTATTTGACTTTGAAGAGCCGAGACTGGAGACTCGATTATGCGTTGGTGACCTGAAGGTATGTTAGCAATCGTCAGAAATACACTAATATCAGTTAGCTTACCCGCAGAATTCTTCGGGAGTAATCTTGGTTATCAGCAATGCTGCCATCGCTGAGCCGTCGATGAGCCATGACAGGGTCAAGACGAGAGTCAGTCATGGAGATACTGCCACTGCTGCCAGGGGGCTTGGAGCCGTTGATAAAAGCATTCACAGCGGCGTTTCGTCGGTGCTCCTCTTCAATTTCTGCATTTCGTCGGCGACGAACAAAGAAAATAGCACCGCCGCCGATGGCAGCAATCACCACAACTCCCACTACAACACCAGCGGCAATAGCGGCCACGTTGGGGCCATCTTTCTTGTCATCTGAGGCCGGTTCTGTGGTCGCGGCTGCGCCATCGGTTTCAGTTGAGGCAGCGGAGTCGTCGCTGGCGGCAGTGCTCTCGGCGGCGGCAGTGGAAGAGGGAGCAGCGCTTGTTGTTGACTTCTCTTCCACATAGTTGTCGGGTGCCAACTCAAGACCGGTGTTGAAAACGGAGTAATAGGTCTTCAATGCACCGCAGGCCTCAAAAGGATAACCTGGGCATTCCCAATTGCACTTCTTATCATCAACAAGATCATCTTCTGGAGGATAAAGTTGACCACAGAAGCATTTGGAGGACTGTAGGGCGAACACGGCATACTTCTTTTTGCATCGATTCCAACAGTCACCAGATGTCGTCTCGGTTCCCGAATAAACCTGTGTCATATTGCCGTTTGATTTCCAACACCCTTGCCCTTTCATCTCGTTCAAAACAGGGTTGGCGATAGGCCATTGCTCACCCTTGATCTTGCCGCTGACCTGGCCGTTGACGCCAAGAGAGCTGGCAGCCACAATGGCCATGGACAGAAATGTCGAGGTCTTCATGATGAGGTTTGTCGTAAGCCAATGGTTCAGCGATAGTAAAGTAGTGTGATTATAGTATGCTGAGTCGACACGGACTTCGAGTCAGATCAACTGCAATCGAAGCGAGTCGAATCTCGAGTCGGTAGGTTGCCACGCGTTATTCCGTACTTATCGAAAGGAGTTCGTCGGCCAGGTTGTCAAGTCGTACTTGTCGTTGTCGTCAGTCGAGTGTGAGCCCCTTCTGGAGGTACGATGAAGACAGCGATGATCTTCGATGGCTTGGTCCAGCAGTGCCGTCGAGTCGTAAGAGTTGACGGCGGTGGGTCGATGTTATCGATCGTAAGACGGTCGAGTTAAGGCAGTTGAACAAAGAAGATCAAGATGCCGAGAATAAGAAAAGAGACTTGACGATACGAAAAAAAAAGACCAACGATCGTGATACTGACCACGATACGCTTCAGACAGATGAAGAAAGAACAAACGCTTTGAAAGTGTGGGGAGTGAAGGAGGGACTGGAACGAACGAACGGCCGGAGGTAGTGGCTTGTTTTGTTGAAAGAGGAGATGGGAGTGAGATGGGGGATGGAAGGAGAGAAAGGTAGCAGAAGCGAGGCGAAGCGAGTCAGAGAGAACGGGAAAAGGAAAGGGACCAGACGTGCAAGTGAAGGGGAGAGCCAAGCCAGACATGGGGCCTCAGAGTAGCAGCCAGTGAATGCAAAGAAACGGCGAGACAAAGGAACAGGGGGTACAGGGGCATTAGCCAGACTGTGGAGCCACTGTCAGGGATTCAGCAAGGATCCGGTCTCCATTTTGGGATCATCTTGAGGAGCTGGCGGATAAGCTAAGGAGGTCAGATTCTTCTTTTACACAAAATCACGCATAGCATAAGCTTTTTCGTAGACGGTCAACCCGCTAACGTCTTTCTAGAGCGCCCAAACATGCGCCAATTGGTGCACCTGAGCACTGCTTCTCCCGAGCACGAAGTCAAATCCTGACATTTTCATTGGCAGTACGCGTTAGTACGGACACAAACGGTGCATCTCTTGTGCACGCTAACCTAGTTGCACAAATATTGAATAACTTCTAACTTACTACCGTGGATATATGTACAACTGCAAGCAACCCAACTTAGCCGCTCGTACCTGCTCTCCACTAGAGAGAGAATCGCAGGCGGCCGTGCCTGCCAGTGATAGGCCATGGGTACAAACACGAAACCACGCCGTCAATCACGGAAACATCTTTGCTTTAGGTTCCCAACCACTGAACAGGCACAAGCACGAGCACAAACGCACACAAAACTGCTGCGAGACAGAGAAACACCATCTTCCGTTTGTGGCTGGCGGTGACAGCGCCGGGCGTTATCTATCCATCATGGCTAATGATTTAAATGGAAGGCTCAGTGCCTCGTGAAGTTGCTGCCTTCTCACGAGACTCCAAGGCGGATGCGTAATTATTCTACAGGCCCTTGGGAAAGAAGCAAGTTTACCTATATAGGCTCTCATTTCCGAACCTTCCACTGCACTTCTTTGTCTTTGTGCTGAAATCTTCCGACCGCCTCCAACCATCCCCTGAATTTCATCAAAATATATCCGTACCCCCTGACCCTCGACCACCCCCCCTTTACGACCTTTCACGCTGCCACGCCATCTGCTGGGGACCGCTGGAGGCGCTGCGACCGCTACGACCGCTGAACCCGCCTGTGGGCAAGCCACTTCACCTCACCCAATACCTGGAGATGGCAATTTGGAATGTGCTGCCGGTCAGTGCCATTACCAGTGGGACACGCGATCTACGTTAAGCGTTGGATGTGCTCGACATGCCGGTCTTGGTCCGCTCGGGAGCCGTCGTACTCGATGGTCTCTTTGCCTGACTAGACACTGGTGGCTTTGTTGCCATTGATGCCGTCTCGCACACTGGACGCTGCTTGCTGCATGCTTATCTACTTATGAGAATTGGTGTCAGGCTTGCATATGGTTCATGACAAGATTGTGAATGATATTCAGGAACAGCAAAAATGAATACGTACCGTGCCCTCCATCATCCCAACAAGGACTTTATACCGCAGATCTAGACGGCCACACTTTGTCAGCACACCACCATTTATCCGACTCAACCATGACTGTTGGTTGATACAGTACAGCATCAAATCTTCTTGCAAGAGTGTCAGTTACTTCATGATTTTGCCAACATCTTTGAGACGGCCTCGATTACTTCTACAGTACGGATACAAGCCCGGAAACTCGGGTCGATAATCGGGTATTCCAAATATGATTCCTCCGATTCAATTATTACTACCGAAGCTTGTCTCTCACCATTCAGACATGGTGGACACCCCCGAGTTCATTTGCTCGTCAATGCACCCCCCGTGACGATGCGCCGCAGTTCAATCCACTGTTCCCAAGACCTTCATAAGCCTTCAGACCTTATGCAACGCACATCCTCTTGTGCAAATTCCATCGAGTGCCAATAATCAGGCGCACGTCAGCTATGCATGTATATGACCCACGTGCCTTGTGGACTTTACCTGTATGGAAAATGCAATGTCAACATTCTATTCTACCACGTTTGACGTGTAAGATGCGTAGTCTTGGTGAAAACGTTTACAGTAACATCGACTTTGACATGCAGTCTTTGAGGTCCTTGTGGATTACAAAGGGAGATATGTAGTTCTTTCTGCTCTACAGCCTCTGGTTGCAAGATCACAGTCGAAGAGCGTTATCAAAGCTGCGTTGTTTCGATCGCGCTAATGCTCGAATCATTAGGTACTAACCAACGTCTCGGTATCTGACCCTGAAAAGGTGGCTGGTCTGTTCGATGGATGACTCGAACATAGCGAGCGTTTCCAGTATTCAGCAAAGGAGTCAACAGCGCATCTACATGATCATCACCATGGAGAGAAGAAAAAGTATCGATCCCCTTAGAGACTTGGGAGTAATAATTATGGCACGGCCAGAAGGTTGAAACGAAAAAAGAAGAAGAAGAAAACGAGAACCTCCCCCCAAAAAACACAGTTTCTTGGCACAGGTGTTTCAGTAATAATTCAAGAAACTTTGCAAGTAGGAAAAACGAACAGTTACCTGGCATTCTACTACAGTACAGTAGCGAGACCCAATGAAAAAAAGAGGCACTATGAGCGCTCGACGCGTTGTTGAGATCGAGGGCATCCGGACATCCATGAGAAGAACCCGATCTTGTTACAAAGAAGCCTTCAAGGGAAATCGACCACAATTCTGTCGATCACGCACTTATCTGAGGGTCAGTACGATTCTCGAATCTGCCCCATGTGCTCAATCGATCCGCTAACCAGGTGCATAAAACTTACTGTGGGCTTGGCTCGGCTTGGCTTATGTTGGATTCTACAGTAGCTCTAATGATGGCTACATAACTCCTTGCGTTGTGCATCCTCAATACAGTACAGTACAGTACTGTACTGTACAAATAAGTTAAGGTTATCACCAAGCCTGCTCTCCCAGCTGCCCAGGTGTGGTTGGTCTCGATGGTTGGGTTCCTACATTAGTTGCGGGACTTACCCCTTTTGTCGACACCTGCAAAGCAATTGCTTGATTTGTTCTTGTTCGAATGTCATCTGTGGGTCATGTTAACCTCCTTCATAAAAGGACCGCGAGGCAATTTGCGACTCTTGCGACTCAAGACGTACTTGCCTATACGCCAATGCAGGTGATCAAGATTGCTACCTAGTACCGGCCTCGATGGCTTTCGTCTTGGGGCTGTAAGCTCTTTGCATGTACTGTACGGAGAAGACGAGAAAATAAAACAGCAAAGTACAGTACAACGGGGAATACGACAGCAGCAGGGTGATTCGCCAATCAAGCTTCAAACAAGCCCAGGGCATCCGCTCATCTATGTGCTAATAGGGCCTGTCCCTAATTATTATGCCCATCCCCTTACTATGTATGACCGCTAATTATAAGAGATGGATGCCAAGTTAAAACCCCGTGGAGATTGGAATTGATCAAGGGACCTGTGGGTATTCATCCATTCATCTTGGAAGGTAGGTAGCAATGCAACGGATACTGCACCTACGTAGTATGTATGTATGTACATATGTAGTAGAATTTGCATCCTCTCCCGACTCCCGTTCCAGGCCGCCAGGACAATCGGACCAAGTTGAATAATTACATTCAAAACCTCGCCTTGTCTTGTCTTGCCTTGAAGTTGTCGAGATGCCTCGCCAAGTCTCTGCATTGCATTGCATTGATTGGTATATTGTAGGCTGTCGGCATTCTATTGCCCAACTCCTAGTCTATGCATTTCCACAACGGCCTTGTCTTGATCATATCAAACTCAACTATCTACTCCGTACAAACTACTTGACTGGACTGGATTGGATTGGATTGGATTGGATATTGGTCTCTGGCTCTTATCCCGAGTCATCCGCCAAGACCGTTGCTGTGCCTCATCAGATGGTTTCTCGTCTCACGCTTACTTGCTTTAGCGGAACGACAAGTTTGTTTGAGTTTATGAAACACGTACGGAACTGAGTTGCAACAATCAACTTTTTGTTCTATTCCAAGGCTAATTATCTCGGAATTCCGATTTGGAAAGACAATTTTTGTATCCGTATCTATCTATCGAACTTTGAAGTGAGCAGTACGGATATGGACAGGCATGGATGATCCCTCTGTTACTTAGTAGTAGCTCAGCATTGAGGATACAGTACAACAGTACGGATACAGTTGTGTCATGTCCTTGGCATAAGTTAATCCACTTTCATCCGCATCTTGTCTTGTACAACTCCATAGACTATAGACTATCCTACGGAGGGTCGGTACCTACGGTGGGTAAAATAAAACTTGACTCCCCTGCCTTGCCTTGCCTTGCCTTGCCTTGTATTGCACAGGCTTCCGCGTATGGTGGCCGTCCGCTGGCATGCGGGCCGTTCGTCCATCACTATCATCAGTCAATGCTGAACCCTTCCTTTCTCTGTCTCTCGACTCGACATCTGTGAGATTGATTGATCACTTGTTCAGGCTATTTTTGGAAGATTCAATCTTAAAAAGATCAACACGCATTAGCAGCCACTTTTACGGATACCTATCCGTACCTCCCTTGAATTCACTCAGTGTCCTTCTTTTGTCCGAATTTTAATGACAAGATAGATTCAACTGTTTCTTGTTCTTATCGTTGCTTTGCATCACTAGTGCGGTCATTATCAAGGTCTAGAGTTTCGCGGGCCCTGATTTTCCTCTCAAATTTTGCTAGATCATCCATCCATCAACTGATCGTCTCTGTGGACTTTGCCACCAATAACACCCTCCCTGCATTCTTAACTGGTGCTAGGTGCTGGAGAATTTAAAAAACAGGACCGTCATACCAGTTCACGAACCAGAGACATTGACATTGACATTGCCTGCCTTTTGTGTCTCACTGCCCTGCTAGCTACTAGTACTGTATTTGTACAGCAGGTACATGCATCGAGATCATACAACAAAAAAAGGCTAACTGAATACAATTTTGCCCTCCCTGGTGATCATTCTTTCGTCGTTATCCCTCATGGACTCTGCCTTGTCAACTTATCGGACAAACAACTATGACTTTTACGTTGCACCTACGACAGAGAGACGAGTGTCAAAGAGGTTCTGGACTTGAGGCATCTGTTTGAAGAGCAAGTGTCGGCGTATCTTTGCGTGATATTCTCTCAGCAAAATACTGTTCATTGGTTAAATTGGTCTTTCGTCTTGGCTATCTACAACACCCAAAAGGTTCTATGTCACAGTCAGAGAATCGGTTTCATATTGGACGTCAATGTATCTTGGATACCTCTTTCACTTACACGAAAAAACAATAAGAGCAACCCTCCAGTGACTCTCTGTCGCCAGCTCAAATCTGTTGTTACGTTAGTGCAATTGTATAAGGAAAACTATCAAGTGATGGCTCACCATATCCAGTTCCCTCCCAGGTTCGGTCCACCTGTCATGGCTCATTCTCGCCTGTTGTGTCTGGTCTAATATAGGTAATCTTCAGCTCAGCAGTACTAGACTCACCACCAGTATCGGTCGGCTCTGGTAGATCACTGTGATTGTCTGGATTGCCGCTGCCTCAGAGGTTGTTTCTGTAACTACAGTTATAACAATAGTCCTTGAGGGCGCGCAAAAGTACCCTCCTGCTACGAGACCATACCATGTGTAAGTTGCATATGCTGAGAGGGAGCCTTCGGTGCTGTTCTCGGTCTTAAAATCAGTCTTCACGGAGCACATGTTTTGCTAACCACTCTATAGTGTAGCTATTAAATGTTTGGCCTGACTCGATACATAGTCGGTATGGCACAGTTCATGTCTCCGCAACATCCGACATATATATTGTTGTGGCCCAGTATGTATAGAAAACCACATGCTTCGGATGGACAATCAATTGCAAGATCAGCGTTTGGTAATGCTCATCGTCAGCTGGCACTTGTGGTCGGCATACTGTGTAACTTACCACCGTCTATGTATCCGCAAACAGATGCGGACTCTGTAGTACTGGTCTGCGAGTTGACCAGCTCAACAAGACTGAGGCTGAAAACAAGACAGCATAAGAGCATTGCCATCTTGCGAGATGTTTTATTGTCGAATCAATCTTTTACTACCATGGTTGGATCTCGTTGTTGTTGTTGTTGTTGTTGGATACATGCAAGCCTCCTTCAACCGCATCTGCGCAGCCAGCCCAGCTGAGAAATATCGGGCGTCTTATATGGTAATGTGATGAGATAAAATCAGAGCGAGTCCCATTTTACGAGGTTGTCTTCCCGAGAAATGGCTTCATCAAGAAGACTGTCCTTAGTTCTGTCCTTCCTATCGAGCACGTCTCAGCATGGGGAACCTCCAAGTTGACTGCTCACGATGGATAGAACTGGTTAATTTCAGTAGCTATATCCGCCTTCTCGATTATGAGACTCAGTTCGAGAAGAACAAGCTGTAAATTTGCCAGAGCGAGATATGCAATACCATGTACGGCATAAGCAACACTGACATATCTGGCATTGGAGTTTGTCATGACACCAGTTTCAAGTGTGATATCGCTGGTTTGTCATAATAGATTGCTGTTGGTTATATTCTTGAGATTTCCCTCAGCATTGCTCTTTCTCTTGCAGTCATTGTCCTCAAGCAGAACGGCAGGCCCAGTCGTTGGTACCATACTGCAAAGAGCGGCCTCACAGCATTCGTTGACTCTCCTGAAACCACTGGCCAAAACCTGCTCGAGAGATGACGTCCACCACAATGCCAGACTGCTTTTACTTGGTACAACGTTGGCTGTGTCCTTCAGCCTGTTCCTTTTGAGGTATATACATGCTTTTGACGCGAGTCCCATCGGGAATGGCGAGGGGTCAGAGGTATCGCCTATCGACTGGAGTGCTATTGAAGATATGTGTTTCCCTCACATGTACAGAAATCCTGGGGGCACGATGGCATACCGGTCCGTGGACGGGTTGGAATTAACGGCTTCTTTAGCCACATACATGTTTTCGTTTTGGCTCCTCGCTGGTCTCCTAGCATACTAAGACGATGACGGGAAAGCAGAGGGTGATGAAAGAATAAGAAGCCAAAGCTTGTTGGAGAAATCATGCCAATAGGTGGTTCAGTGGCAGGCCAATCGTCGCCGCGGTGCCTCTCTTTTGCAGTCATGGGCCTGTCAGTACCGCTGCTATGGATTATCTTCACGTTGAAGAAGGTTCAAGAGGAAATGTCTGAGAACATGGGACATGAATATGCTGGGAACGAATTGGGCTTTGGGCAAATTGTTTCCTCGTCTCGTTCATCCCTGTCGCAGTTATGATGGCATACCGATGGCCTGTAGATGGAAACAGTGATTGAACTTCGAGTGCCAGATATAGGCAGGTATTCTCGGGGAACAAATCCTTCAATTATCGAAATGTCATATCTCTCTGAGAGTATAGCCCTCGTACCTTGGCTTCCTCAAATTTGACGACGATGCTTCTCCATCGGTTTGCAATGCTGCATTCATAGAACCCCAGTTGTAAGCGACCAAAGTCTATTGAACTTCTGCCCCGGCCACTAAGAATATGTCGTATTTCCGATCTTGATGCTGAGAAACTACCTTGCATTTATGTAGGTAAGACCTGAAGTCGTTAAATGAAAAGATCGTCAGTTGTTAACCTCAAAAACATCAAGGTTAGGCAAAGGCTCATCATCCTATGACTCACTCTATCACCTGTTCACCTATTATCTTACGGTATTCTACTTTTGAACATGCAAATTATATTCATTTATTGTTAAGGTGGTGGAGGAATATCTAACATTACAAGTCTACAGACATCATGTGTATATTATTATTACCCTAGAGACACCGTAATTTTCACCGCATAGTTATTCACTACCTCGCTGTTTCCTTACAGCAACCCCGTAGGAATAGGGATGATATCGTAGGAACATGATTGACGCAGGATTCCAACTATCGTATAAAGCGCAACAGTTACGATGTGACAAACGAGATGGTATAAGCTTGACCTCTGATCAACAAGGACAAGTCATGAAAATGTGATAGTCTCAATCCTAATATCAATCTCAATCCTTTGCATCTCACAATGCAGCGCTTAACCAGAATCTTGGGTTGGCCGGTTGCCAGCGAATGGAATGTGTTCCTCTGAGAAAGGATGGACAGGGGCCATTAATGACTTGCATAAGGTCCATGGGCACGAAATTAGCAGTGGAGGCTGGGGTTATTACTACTAGGACCTATCCGTACCTATCTAGACTTTGAGAGTTGTACTGCAACAAGTCGACAGTTGGAGAATAAAAAGCAACATGTCTTTCTAGACTACTTGTTAAATTACTATCAAGACGAGAGTTTCTTATCGTGGGTGATAGTGATGAGCTTAAGTTAACGTCATTGCCAGCTTTAGTATCAGTGGCCTTGAAAAAAAGGATCTCTCAAGTCCTTCCATCCTTGGCATTGGCGTAGATACCAACCTCCTAAATTACCCCCTTTTGAGGTCACTGGTTACTCAATCTCAACGAGGGGAAGGACGAAACCTGATATTAGTATACAGCAGTTTAATTTAATTTAATCTTTTTATTTTTATATTTTTAAATTAAGCTAGTTTTTTCTCTCTCCCTCTTCAATACCCCACTCCTGCTATGCTGTATCCTTATTCACCTCTGTCTCTCTCATTAACATACCATTTCAAATACGACGCGACTGTCTCAAAGCGTGTAAAGTCTTTTCTCACTCTCATTCCTCTCTTCTATCTTACTGTTGATACCTCTTATTTAATCTTGATGGTCATGAGACTCTCTCTTCGCTTGTCCTAATAAACAGACGGTTAAAGGCACCACCCCTCTTCAAAGTCGACGCATGCATCACGCCAGCCACTTTCTGGCTCACTTTCTAGTCACTTTCTGGTAACTTGTTGTACACCGACTGTTGTAAGTCAAGTCAGACTGCGATCCTCAACTTGTTCTCAGCATTCGTTCATCCTTCACCTCGAAAATGGGTTTCTCGAGTGTGAAAAACGACTCGCCGCGGTCATCAAGATCGCGCCTTTCAGATGAATCCCCTCTATCGTCGCCGGATAGTTTCCTAGGTCACTATCCTTGGCCGAGCACCAGCACAGTCGCTCATAAGCGCTATGAATCGACTCATATTTTAAGTAAAACACCAAACCTTGTACGTCCTCGGTTTCATAAATACTGACTGCTGTAGGCGATGCGGATAAGAAGAAGCAAATTGAAGCCTTTTATCGTGATCTTATCTGGTCGGATCCTTCAATAGCAAAGGATGCTCTCAGAACGCAGCAAGGGCCTCGAGCGCCCAAGACCTGCGAATGGATCATGGGTGTGCAGGAAGTTAAGAACTGGTTGAGACCCGAGACAGAACATCAGCATGTTTTGTGGCTTTCTGGTAATCACGGACGAGGGAAATCGACCATGGCCGTCTATCTCGCTGAAAAGCTTACCAACGACTTTGCTACACATCCCGCCAACACTTGCGCCTACTTTTTCTGCGGCTCAAAAGACGTGTTGAGAAACAGTGCCCAGGGAATCCTCCGAGGGTTACTCTCGCAGATCTTTCAAAACCACCCCCATCTTCTCAGTGACAGAATCCGCCGAAGACATGCCTACCGTGGTGCTCGAGTATTCGAGAAGCCCCAAGCGCTCTGGAACTTATTAGTGGAGGTCGCTTTCAGATCCGACCGTCGTATCTTCTGTGTCATTGATGGGCTGGATGAGTGTGACGCAAATTCTCGAACAATCCTTTTGGAGCTCATCGAACACACTTTTCATGGCGAGAAGCCTGCTTCAAACCTCTGCCTTCTCATCACAAGTCGACCGAGTTCAAAGATCTACGAGTATCTGGGCGAGTTTGTTCACCGAGACCTCGATTCATTTTCCCAGTCAAAGCACGATGTGGAGGTCTTTATTAACCAGCGAGTTCGGCATATCGCAAGCAAGCGAGGCTGGTCAGGCACAAGCACCACCCAAGTGAAGCGCGTCTTCCAAGCAAAATCAGAGTATAACTACCACTGGGTGCGTTACGCCAGCGAGAGCATCTGTAAGCTCCGATCTGCCGAGGATGCCATCAAATTTCTCAAGGGACTGCCCAACGGCTCTGAGTATCCCACTCATGGCCCATCGTTGAACCAGAAAAGAGACAGCGTTGAGCATCTGGGGTTCGGAAACACCGACGAAGACCGTGAGAAGCACCACGCCCGGATCAAATCGCCATTTGTCAGTGCGATACTGACCGGAAGAGTCGAAATGCTGGCATTTCTCCTAAAAAAGGGCGAATCTTTGACACCATACACTATACAGGCTGCAGCACGATGGGGATGCACCGGAATGCTTCAAACAATCATGACACTACGACAAGACGAAATCTCGCGTGACCAGGATCTCTCTTGCGCCGTGGCCGAGTGTGCCAGTGCTGAGATGATGAAACTCATTTTCAGACACCCAGAGTTCAGATGGAGCGACGCCGCAATGATCGGAGCCACAAGGAACGAACGACATGGACTCGATGTAATTGCATTGTTACTGAAGCTGCACGGTAACGGTATTGAACTCGACGAATGGATGATGGGCAACATTGCCAGTGCCTGTCACCCAACGGTTATGGACTACCTTCTGACCCAACACGGAGGACGCATTCAAATTACCACAACCGTAGCTGAGCGAGCCATCGAGAATCGCCGGGGACCATCTATGCTTAGAATCCTTCTCAAACACCGCGCGAACGAAGGCTTCGTTGACGAAGAACTCATGATTCTCGCACTGGCCAACACCCGCTGCCGACCAGACTTCATGGCCATCTTCCTCGAAATGCCAAGGTCTCAAGTCCTGTTCACCAAAGAAGTTGTGTTGGCCGCAATTGCCTCACCAGAGAAAGACTCAGATGACTGGGCCCCCGAAGTCCTCGAAATGATTCTCAAGAACCGGGCCGACGATGTCGATATTGATGAAGAAATCGCCATCGAGGTCTTGTGGGAGCTTGGATATCCTGGTCTGCAAGTGATTTTTGAGCATAAAGACGAGAGCGTTCGGGTGACGCAAGGACTCCTTGACGCTGCAGCAGGTGTTTGTTCAGCGAAAGAGTTTCCACAGTTGGTGGAGAGAGCCGAAGATGACTTCAAGATCACGCAGGACATGCTGATAAACACGACTCTCAATGTGCGACATGGCGATAGACTCCTTCCTGTGATGCAGAGATATTTAAAGAGCTCTTTGAATATCGGCCAAGACGCCGTCGAGGCGTTCCTCAAAGCAGGACAGAACGGATTCAAGAGTCTACTCGTTCTTCTCCTGAGAGAACGCGGTTGCAGAGTTAACCTTAGCAGGGGCGCTCTGCGCTCATGGATCCGCGATGACCAGGTGTACCGTGGCAGTCTAGCATTTCTCTTCGTTGCACTTCATTCTGGATGGTGCAAACTGTCAGACGAAGTAACTGGTTCTAGATGTGAGAGATTGGAAGCTCTTATTAAGCATTACGCTGAATTGGATGATGTAAGGCAGACTTTTGCCGAAGCGATGGAGCGCTCCAAGAAGGAGATCCATGGGCGTTGATTGTTTTGGCCCAATGTTACTAACGATGTTATGATAAGATGGTTTATGATGAATACATAGAGTGCACAGCGGTGACGTTGTCGCCGTAATATGTGGAACTGATATATATATACATATATATATATATACAACTACATGTAATAGATTAACTTCAAGATAATTTGTAGTACCTAGTTCACTTAGGTTCCGCCTTCCATTCCGTTGTTGATGTTTCTATAAACACTTGTGACAGTCAGTCGTGTTCCTGATGTTGATCATACGTCCCATAAAACAAACGGTCAGGAACAAGGGCGCGATTGAGGATCCGCGTCAAGTTAGTCGTAGACCATTTATTAACCCCAGATGGTAGGTTACCTTAGTGTTAGTCCGAGCGAGCTATGCTGTGCTATCAACAGCACACGCGTGAGACTTATACAGGGGTATCGTATCCGTACAGTACCTTGCAGACAGAGAGGAAGAATGTCACAGGTATCTCAGAAGCTGCCATGACAACGCATAGTATCAGCGAAACAAACCCTGGTAAGAGAGTAGGCACCTAGTAGTAACAGGCTGATTGCTGCTTGTTCCTGTTCCTGATACGCGGCTTGATAAGATGAGACGCTGATAAAGACGCATGATGCCTAAGGCGGAAAAGCTCCCTTCTTCTCCAAGTGCAGATTGCAGAGTAGGTACGGATACTGGTTGCTAGGCAGGCACGCAGGGCAGGCGCAGGTGGAGACGGGGAAGGCACAACTGAACTGGTGCGTCATTGCTTGACAAGTCACAAGGTCATTCGCAGGGGAAACGCTTCAATGGCCCGGGAGGCGTGAGGCGTTACTGACGAATCCAGGTAGGTGCGGCCGAAACAGGCCGCAAGCACGCGCAATGCGCAATAAGCTTCCCCCAGCTCGGATAGACCTGAGCTCCGTCACTGTCACTCTCCTCCGCTTTCTCACTTCTTAACCAACCATCTTCTCTTATCTCTCCCCAACTCCATCTTGCATCTTGCATCTTCACTCCCCATCAACACCACAGCTCGCAATCCCTCTTGTCGAGCATCTTTATCAACACACATCTCGGTCGCATTCTCAATCCGATTGCCCATCATGAAGAGCGCTCTTCTTACCGCTGCCGCGCTTCTGGGCTCTGCCCAGGCTGGCGTTCACAAGATGAAGCTCAACAAGGTTCCTCTTGCTGACCAGCTGGTACGATTGATCCCCATTTTGCTTGCGCGCTTCTTTGACGATATCTAACACGAGACACACAGGCTATGAACTCTGTTGAGGACCACCTTCAGAGCCTCGGCCAGAAGTACATGGGTGCTTCTCGCCCCAAGAACGCCGCCGATTACGCTTTCGCTACCAACGTTCCTAGTGTTGAGGGTGGCCACCCCGTCCCTGTCTCCAACTTCATGAACGCCCAGTGTAAGTGTCATTGAACTCAACAGACTTCATTCCGAGCTGACCTTGTCCAGACTTCTCCGAGATCACCATCGGTACACCTCCCCAGAGCTTCAAGGTTGTCCTCGACACCGGTAGCTCTAACCTCTGGGTTCCTTCCCAGCAGTGTGGCAGCATCGCTTGCTACCTCCACTCCAAGTACGACTCATCTGCCTCGTCAACTTACAAGAGCAATGGCAGCGAATTCGAGATCCACTACGGCTCTGGCAGCTTGTCTGGTTTCGTCTCGAATGATGTCGTCTCAATCGGTGATATCGAGATCAAGGACCAAGACTTCGCTGAGGCTACCAAGGAGCCAGGTCTGGCCTTCGCTTTCGGTCGCTTCGACGGTATTCTCGGTCTTGGATACGACCGCATTGCCGTCAATGGCATGGTCCCTCCCTTCTACCAAATGGTCAACCAGAAGCTTCTTGACGAGCCTGTCTTCGCCTTCTACCTTGACGGCCAGGAGGGCGAGAGCGAGGCCATGTTCGGCGGTGTTGACAAGTCCAAGTACACCGGCGATCTTGAGTACATCCCTCTCCGCCGCAAGGCTTACTGGGAGGTTGACCTCGACGCCATTGCCTTCGGTGATGAGGTTGCCGAGCAGGAGAACACTGGTGCCATCCTCGACACCGGTACTTCCCTGAATGTCCTCCCCAGCTCCCTTGCTGAGCTTCTGAACAAGGAGATTGGTGCTAAGAAGGGCTACAACGGTCAGTACACTATTGACTGTGAGAAGCGCTCTTCTCTCCCCGACATCACCTTCACCCTTGCCGGTTCCAACTACAGCCTTCCCGCCACCGACTACATCCTTGAGGTCCAGGGCAGCTGTATCTCTACTTTCCAGGGAATGGACTTCCCCGAGCCCGTGGGACCTCTCGTTATTCTCGGCGATGCTTTCCTCCGACGTTACTACTCTGTTTACGACCTTGGCAAGAACGCTGTTGCTCTGGCTCGTGCCAAGTAAGAAATGAACATTTATGCATGAATTATTCGATAGCGCATGGGAACACGCAGCATGGACATGGTTTTGGACACTGGTATGGGATTAGTTTGAACTGTATGACGGACTTCGAGTACGCAGCATTGAGTTAGCAGTATTAAGTAGGTAGCTTCTCATACTTGACGTGCTCTGTAATATGAACTTTATCAACTTGCTACCTGTAGCAAAGTGCCTGATTGATGTGTTTATGATGAGATCATGTTGTAGCTGACGTGCTAGAGCTAATGACTATCATGGTCATGATTACGCTAGACCTGCAGCCACGTCCCGAGTGTTCTGATGGCTCAGGTACCACAGGATACCTTCGCATAAGAGTCACAATGGGTATTGTGCAGTTTACTGGCCACTGAGATTCCCATGATTATGATTCTTTTGGTGACAAAAGTAGTGAGAAGCAGGAAATGAGGCCATCTTTTGTATCTAATTCGAGTCCATGAGGTGTTTCCCAGTTACAATGCAAAGAGGTACAATAAACCGTTGCAATGAGCTAGTCACGTGCATGGCTCCGTAAGCTCTCACCAAAGTGGGTCCAGCGCGGGTCAGTGACAAGAAGGGTAGTTGGCGATCGAGGAGACACATTCTTCCCGGCCCCCAGGACTGCCTAGACCCAGCCCCAGTGCAAGGCGAAGCAAGCAAAGCAAAGCAAAGCGAAGCAAAGCAGAGCAAAATCGTTTCGTCCCCCCCGGTTTTTGACTCGAGATATTGCTCCGAGACCTGTTTGTCGCGTAATTTTCGAGTCCATTACTCTCTTTTGCAGCGATTGCAAGATTGTGTCGTGGTTATCTCAATGAAGGAGACTCGTTTGCGCTGCTTCGACCAAGTCTATTATTTACCTTGAGTTGCACCAGCGACTGGGACGGACTGAATTGCGACTGGACTGGACCTGACCTGGAACTGTACCAGTTTCTGCCATCCACTACCGCTACCATTTGCTGCTGCTAACCACTATCATTTTATTACCCACTGCCACTGTCGCTGCCACGATCGCTATACTTGACACTACCGCGTATCGCGACGAGGCGCGGCCCCGACGACGACGAAAAAAAAAAAAGAACGACGGTCTTCTCTTTGAAGCCATCATGACCACACCCACCACAGCTCAGCCTGCGGCTATCCAAGCCAACGGCACCTCAGAATCGCCTACCCTCGATAAAGCGCAATCCGTCGCCCCGGGAAAGCGAAAACGCGATGTCGATGAAGAGGATGATCGCGACGAGGATATGACTTCAGATGAGCAAAAACCTGCCATTACCAATGGAGAGCCCAAGAAGGACCAACGCGATTTGATAAGATCTTTCGTCGAGGCTCTCAGCAGGTACGCCAGCCTTTTCTTTCCTTTAATTGCAATATTTTCTCCTTTCATATCGCAACTTGGTCGTGAAGGACTTGGCTGTTCCGTGCACTAACTCAATTCCCACAGCTACGATGTCGCCCCGTCCATCCTCAAGCGTCCCCTGCCCGACTCTTCTGATGATGATGACGACGAAGACGACCACCGAGCAAAGCGTCAGAAATCGACCGATCCATCCACCATTTCCGACAAGGCTACTGCGAATGCGTATGAGAATCTTGACCAGGTCGCTGACGACCTAGTGTCCGCAATCTATATCGCTTTCAAGGAGATCAAGACACAACCATCTAATAGCAAGGATGGGTCAGCCGATGACACATTGAGAACGCAAATCACAGAGTTCAAAGACAGGGCCATGGAACTTCTTCGACGGGAAAAAGCATATCCCAAGGTCAACGCCGATCCCCTTCCTGTCGAGTCTAAGCTACCTCCGTCTCCTCAAAAGGGAACATTGGTACTGTCTCTTGTCGGGTATGCGCCACAAGAGAAGAGGCTATTTTCCAGCCTCCCAGCTTCCGCTGAGGCCAATTTGCGTGATCTGGCTTTACCCGCAGGTCTATCACTAACTCATGTCATGCCTACAACGCCCCATGAGCGAGCCCAAACTCTGGGAGACTTGTTCTCATCGCCTCGATCTCTACCGCCCCTTCAACCGCCCAAGCAGCCCAAGACACAAGCCAAGGGCAATACACTAGACTTCTACCGCCCAGAACTGACTGATAACTGCAAGCTTCGAAACTCTAGTTATTTCACAACCAAGTTGTCTGCAGGATGCTACCTCGACTACAGCAATGCGACCCCTTCATCGCAAACCATGAACAAACAGCGAGAACGTGCCCAAAGTCTGGCTGGAAAGCGACCTTCAACTACTGAACTCGAACTTTCTGAAATGGAATCGCTCTTTCGAGGCGCATTTTCCAGCTTTGCGCCTTGCAAGGACGATTCTGGGGCGGTGGTGCCATCCAGTGTTGCAGGCCGAATGTGGTGGCAGCGATCGGGACACAAGAACTTCCAGAACATGATAGAAGTTGAATATTACGGCGACGGTAATAACGAGGAGACGAACGATGACGATAGTGCAATGGAAATTGATGAGAAGGCCATCCAGGAAGCGATTGATAACTGGGATGAATCCGTCGTTGACCCTTCACTCGAAGAGGCTCTAGGCACCAAGCGAACGAGCGAGGAAAAGGAGGTCGATGAGATTTTGGAAGAGGTCAGCGACTTGATCGAAACACTTTCTTCTTACCAGCGCATTCGAAATCTCAACTTACCCAATTCGCAAAACCGGTCGTCGAGCGACCCAGTCACTGGCGATATGCTGGCTACTCCTGGTCCCACCCCCTCCGAGGGCGAGCAAGCTACGTACCAGGTGCTGAAGGCTCAGCTTGCATTGATCATCAAGACGTTGCCGCCATATGCAGTAGCTAAGCTGAACGGAGATCAACTTGAGGATCTTCTCATCAGCACCAAGGTTCAGGTTCAAACTGATGGTTACAAGGGCGTTATGGAAGAGGATGAAGCGGGTGTTCAGGCTCGTTTGAGAGCTCAGCAACAAGCCGCTCAGGTCAGTGCTCGACCACCCCCACAACGCACACCTAGTATATCGGGTGTTTCTTATGGGCATCACACACCCCAGAACCAGTATGCAACTCCTCAACGAGCCCCTTCAATGTCGCAGCAGCAATACTATCGGCCGGGGCCTACACCCAGCTTCCAACCTCAACCCCAACCACGACCTATGCCTACCCAAGCCCGACCTCAACCTACGCAATATTCCCGACCCAACGGTTACCCCGCGCAGTATGCAACACAAGTTGCGAAGGCCCAAACACCTTATGGTCACCAGAATATGCCTCAGTATGCTTCTCAGCAGAGGCCTCAATTCGGACAGATGCCGGCTCAGCCAGCAACTCCCAGCCAGAGATATCCTTACCAACCAGGATATCCGCAGCAGCAAGTCGCTACGCCCGCGCAGCCCAATTTCGGAGTTTACACGAATGGACAAGCTATCCCACAGCGCACAATGTCTCCTGTCGTTAATAGACAGGCTTGGAGTGCATCGCCCAACACTGTGCAACAGCAGCAGCAGCCTCCACGATATGGCACGCCTAACCAGGCTGCGGGAAATCAAATAAATAGGTACCCGAGCAACCCCCCTCAACAAGGAACGCCTGCTCAGAACCCTGGTCTTACAGGATACCACACCGTTATCCCTGAGGCTCAACAACAACGGATTCTCGATCAAGCGAAAGCCCGCGTTGCCGCCCAAGAACGGTCCGCTATGTTCACTGATAAGATTGCGCAACCAGGCACTCCCGGTTACGGAATAGGAAATGGCCAGGCAGGTGTCATGGATGCCAACAGACTCGCAGCTGCTCGGGCGAGTATTGCCGCCCAGCAGAAACCCCCGACACCTAATTCTTCACGGTCGAGTATGAACGGGACTCCGGGACCGCCACCTCCACACAAGGTGACCCCTGTTCCTGTCCCACCGATTCCGGGTATGCAGCATAAGCCTTCGCAATAAGCAAAATGACGAGTCTTTGAATACGGACACGAACAACGGAATGACTCGAGAAGAATCGAATAGGACTTGGGCAGGACGAGTAGGCCGACCACATGGGCGTTTAGAGGTGGATTCTCGAATTGTGTTTATTCAGTACGTTTTTTTTTTTGAGGAGTTGGTTTTTTTTTGAGAACCAGGGGGAAAAGGGCTGAGAAGCTTGTTTTGTTACTACCGGGAAGAAGAAGAACATCTGGTGTTTTCTATCAAGTGGTTAACCTGGGGAATGGAAACTCCTGGTTGTGTAATCAAAGGCGCCATACTGGCGCGTGTATGCAGATGACAGAAAAGGTACACTATCACCATTGACAATGCCTCTTGAGTCAGATGGAGGAAGGTACTGCAATATCACTAATATCTTTATCGTCTCTTTTGTTCTCGGGAATTTTGTCTAACGACATCCCAAGACATCGTTCTTTAATAGCATCTCGGTTTACGCCATGAAGGCATATTGAATTGATCGTCAATTCTAGAGTTGAGGGGTATCTATCTGAGCCTAGTCGGGGGGCCAAATTTTCATCTTCCGAATCTATAAACACCAGTTCTACACACTTTTGTACAATCGTCCAGGCATTCCAGGCGTTATGTGGACTAGCAAACTACACCACCGGTGTTGCAGGCTTTGGCAGATCAGCAGCCATCTCGCGCTCCTGCATCATCTCCAGGACGATACGACGTAACTCAAAGACGACTTCAACAGCAATAAGCAGAATGATAATCAACTCCAGACGCGTGCCATGCTGTTCGCTCGACATTTCGCGCAGGACACTGGCAATTTCGGCGGCGTAGTCCATCTTCTGGTTCAAAGCTCGGATACGTACGTTGACGTCCAGGGCACGACCGACTTGCTCATAGTACCCTTCGAGACCTAGATCGGAGCTAGTATCCCAGAAAATATCAGGCAAAGAATCGGTCAACTCAGAATAGTGGTTAAGGCGAGCGCGAAGACTGAGGAGCTCGCCTGTCTTTTGGAGGATAAAGCGACGACCTAGAGGTATGCCGGCGCCTTGAGAGAGGAGGGCAGGGATATTGCGTGTGCTTTCAAAGTACGACGTCAATGCGGTCTCAAGGACAGCAAGTTTTGTACTCCTGGCAAGACCAGAGGAGAAAGCAACCTTGGCTAGGGTAGTATCCAGCTTGTCAGCCTCATTGTGCTCCTTTCGTGTACCAAGAACAATAACATCGCCCTTGAGCACGCTTGCTTCTCGGTTTGTGTCAGTTGTAAATTCAAGATCTTCAAATTCCCGACACTTGATGGGATGAGCTTCTTCAGCAGCGCGCATAATCTGCCTAGTAACGACATCTGGTGGTAGTGACCACGTCACAATTGTACCAGAGGGAAAGACGAAGATATCCCCGCCATTAACTCCTCTTGCATGAACTACTTCGTTTGCATCGAAGCCTGTGCCGTCTGGGTCTATGTGAAAACCATGTGACGACAGAATCTCAAGAACTATGGGCATCTTGAATGATTCTGCAACGCAAGTTGCGCTGACCACATTGGAGGGTTCATCGCTTGAACTTCCTGGCGTTGTTGAACCCCGTTTCGGCTGTTGAGCTATAATGGCTACGCGCCGCAGAGAATTCTTGGCCGTGTTTGATCGGGTAGGTTTCCTCTTTGCCGCAGAGGAACCTTTCTCTTCTTTAGTAATCTCGGAGGATGGGCGGTGATCGTCATCGGCTTGCGAGAAGTAGGGATTCGAAGTGAAGAAGCTTCGCTTTCTTGGAAAGTTGGCCAGAGATGTGATATGAAATGATCGTTGAGGTCTCAGCCGTGGCCCGACGACTGAGGTGTGGAAAAGACGGGCGACATTGAGGGTGATCCGCTGGGAGGAATTCCTCATGATGCTACAACAATTATGCCATAGAAAGCGAGTAACGCTATGATTGACTCGAGATTTCACCTCGAAGCTGGAAAATGACTGGACCTTGACTTGAATTCAAAGCCGTCGACTAACACATCAGAAAGAAAGCGGGACCGGCGATAAGATAAGATGCCGTTAGTCAGCACAAGGATGCGACATGTGATGATACACGTGATACCCCTCAACGGAATGTGGGCTGCTAGACCGCTTCAGGTAGGGAACTCTGACCCATGACGAAGTCCCACCACAGGAGAGAGATCCATCTCTAGGGGGACCAGAAACGGTTAATTACGCTTCTCAACACCGAGGACGGACGACTTAAATTCTAGAGACCAACCCCTTGACCTCAACTCTTCATCAACATCAAACTTCTTGGCGTTATTCTCCGTCTCGTCACCTTTTAATCTTATATTCCGCTGTTCTCCTAACTGCGGATTCTTCTTCTTCTTTCCCCCCTCCTTCTCTTCCCTTCCTACCCCACCACCTACTATCACCATGGATCTGAACCCCAAGTACGACAACTATGATTTCCCTATCAAGGGTCCTGAGAAGCAGGACGGCCATCCTGGCTACCTCACGGAGGACCAGATTGCCAAGCTCCACCAGTTTCGCATGATGCTCGAGTCCGAGGGCTGCACTGAGCGATTGGACACCTTGACTCTGGTATGAGATAAAGCTAAGCTCCATGGACCCTGAAAAAGGGCCATGCTACGCGACGCCTATGCAACACAGCAGATACTGACAACGACCATTACAGCTTCGATTCCTCCGAGCGCGAAAGTTCGATGTCGAAGCCTCAAAAGCCATGTAAGACTTTTCCATTTTATCCGATGGCGGTGGAAGGAGAAGCACATCGTTGCGACAGGGGGCTGACCGCCACTACAGGTTCTTGGACACCGAGAAATGGCGAAAGGAGACCAAGCTCGATGAGACTGTGCCTGTCTGGGACTACCCTGAGAAGGCTGAGATCGGAAAGTACTACACTCAGTTCTACCACAAGACCGATAAGGTATGACAAGTCATTCATAAGAAACATCAGGAGATTGTATGCTAACGGATCCTTTTTTTTTTTCTGCACAGGATGGCCGACCTATCTACATCGAGACTCTTGGCGGTATCGACCTGAACGCTATGTACAAGATCACTACCGCTGAGCGCATGCTTACCAACCTTGCTGTCGAGTACGAGCGCGTCGCCGATCCCCGTCTTCCCGCTTGCTCCCGCAAGGCCGGCCACCTCCTCGAGACATGCTGTACTGTCATGGACCTCAAGGGTGTCTCTATCGGCAAGGTTCCCCAGGTTTACTCCTATGTCAAGCAAGCCTCCGTTATCTCCCAGAACTACTACCCCGAGCGCCTCGGCAAGTTGTATATGATCAACGCCCCTTGGGGTTTCTCGACCGTCTGGAGCATCGTCAAGGGCTGGCTCGACCCCGTCACCGTTTCCAAGATCAACATCCTCGGATCCGGCTACAAGAGCGAGCTCCTCAAGCAGATTCCTGCTGAGAATCTCCCCAAGGATTTCGGTGGCGAGTGCCAGTGCGAGGGTGGCTGTGCGAACAGCGATGCCGGACCTTGGCATGAGCCTGAGTTCGCCCGCCCTGCTTGGTGGGAGAAGAAGAAGGACGCCAACGTCATCGAGAACAACGGCTCTGAGATTCAGGAGCCTACAAAGGCTCCCGAGGCTGCACCCGCTGCTGAGGGTGTTGATGCTACCCAAACTGCCCCTGCTCCCGCCCCTGCTGCTGCTTAAATGGCTGGAGATATGTCATAGGAATTGATATCGATGAAAGATAGACAGAGCGGTTTCTCTGCGCCTTAATATAGACCGCATATTTTCTCTCGTTTATTATACTTTCCCCCCCAAACGAACGGGTCAGGTTCCAGAGTTGTGGGAGCGAGAACAGGAAGTGATGGAAATCCGTTGCGAAAGACTCAGGTGGAGCGCGACGTTCGTAGGAATGGAAAGACTTGCAAAGCCTCTCTCCTTCAGCTGCAACGAACAGGCTGGATTGGCCGACTTCGTTTGTGTCTAGACTTACATTAGACATTAGTTATCTGGCTCGAGATTTTTCTGATCATGAATGTAACAGTTTCTAACAAATAGGCGTGGTCGCTAGACGTGTGTGTTCTTCCAGAATGTCATGATAAAATTCGTCGATTAATCCAATGCGCCTTAACTCCCAAGCATGTTCGCTGCGACTATCCGAAATGGAGTGATTGCCGCCCTGGGTATATATATGTAAGGTCGGAGAGGCAATTGCGTGTCTTCATCGTCCCTGTGTAACGACATATTCGCCAGCGACACGCGCCCTCTCCATCTTAGCAACCACCGCAGGCATTTCGCGTTTCAACCTGCCCAAGCCCGCGACGGCATTTCGGAACCCGGCCTCAACGCCATCCTGCCTCTCAAGCAGATGAACATCAAGCTCTATTGCCGCCGCCTCGGCAGCGATATGTTTCTTACGGGCTTCCAGCATATCGTCGTCGCGCTTGAGACTGTCGCGCAGCTGCTCTGCTTGGTTTGCAGCGGCGGTGGTGGGCACGGTGCGCTTAAGGGCTGCGACATCCTCGAGGAGCTTTTCTTCCTGGGTGATGAGGTCTGCGACACGACGGCGCTTGCGCGTATCGAAGGGTTCGTAGACGGATTCTGGCTCGACGGGTGTTTCGGAGAGGAACGTATCTGGGACAACAGGCATGCCATTGATGGAGAGGTTTGGTGATGCGATGGAGAAGGTTTTATCGATATACTGGTATGTAAATCAGCATTGCGTTTAAGATGGGAGTTGGGGTATAGAGAGAAAAAAAAAAAAAAAATA